GGTCATCGTTCAGGATACGATATGCCAATATTAGATCACCCCGTATTCGCCGGTAAGATAACGGAAATAAGTTGAGGTGTCTCAGTCTGTCTTCATAAGATAGGCTAGATAAGCCTTTTACCATTTTTGTCCCGCGGCGTTGGACTCGTTCCAACATATCCGCCTCATATTTGAAACAAGGACTCGCTGCTTGAATCCCATATTCCAAATGTGGCCGTACGAAAGTTAGGTATAATAATCTAAACATTTCCCCATCCAGATACCTGAAAGATCTACGAATAGACCATAATTCTCTATGGCCTTTTGCAGCAGCAGCCTTACAGTGACTGGTTGTTTTGAGATCATTACTTAGTATGACTCCTAAATCTTTATAGTTTCTTACTTTGGGCAACACTAGTCCACATATTGTGTAGTGATACGAATCATCGTAGTTATTTAATTGCATCACAACACTTTTATTAGGGTTTACTTCTAGTGACCACCCATTCATCCATGCAACTAGTGAGTTAAGATCTTCCTGTAAAACTATTCTGTCTGACATACTATATATGGGTCTCCAAATCTTAATGTCATCGGCGAATAGTAGGACGGATGACTTAGCTATAGCTGGTAATTCATTTATATAAAGTAAAAAGAGAAGAGGACCTAAAATCGTGCCTTGGGGGACGCCACTTTTTACTGGTTCCCACGATGAGAGAGCCCCATTTACTCTTACCCGTTGTCTCCTTTCATGAAGAAAGTCACTTAGCCAGTCTATGACTGCATAATGAATTCCAAAACTTTCTAGTTTCAATTTAAGACCAGAATGGGAAACCTTATCAGAGGCTTTACTTAGATCTATGAAAATGACATCTACAGGAATATTGCGATCTTTTGCCTCAGCCCAATCTTCTCTTGCAATGAGAAGATTTGTCAAACATGATAGACCTTTTCGAAAACCATGTTGTTCCTTTGACAAAAGATCATATCTTTCCACGTAGTTTATAACAGCCATCCCAATAATTTTTTTCATTAGTTTTACAACTGCACTAGTTAAGCTGACGGGTCGATAGTTACTAATTAAATCCCTACCCCCAGTCTTATACACCGGACTGATTATTGCGTCCTTCCAGTCTCTGGGCAATCTGGACTGCCGTAGGGACATATCGAACAGCATCGCTAAGGGTTCAACAATAACATGTGAGAGGGCTTTCATAATCCGAGGATGAATATCATCAGGACCACTAAACTTATCAGGTTTGAGATGCTGAAGTAGGCCTAAAACAGTTTCTTTCTTAATAATTACAGGGTCCATCAACAAGTCGCCACAATCACAATGAATAGGTGATCGTTCCTCATTATTGGTCGAAAAAACTTTACTGAAATATTCCGAAAAAGCTTCCGCTTTTTCGGTATCATTTCTTGCTAAACTTAACGGATTTTCTTGTATCAATAGTAATGGTATTCCATCACTTCTCTGAGTTCGTCTCTTTATATACGAGAATAACCGTTTTGGACTATGTTTGCAATCCCTAACCAATTGTTTTTCGTATGACCGTCTAGTCCTACTAATTAGCGCTTTACAATTATTTCTAATCTTACGATAACTAGATCTGTACTGTTCTAAGCCAGTAGAGATGAACATGTTCCAGTGTTTTTTTCTACGCCTAAGGAGTTTCTTAACTTCTTTATTTATCCACGGTGGACTATTGTTCGGTCTACGTGGCACCAAGTATGGTATAAACGGGGACGTGACTGCACTAAACTTGCCTTTAAATACAGACCACGCCTCGTCAACTGATGAGCTAGTATCTACTGACCAATCTATCTTAGTAGCACAATCCTGAATGGCTGGTATGTTAGCTCTCCATATGTTTGGGCGAGGCTTAATCTGATCGTATATCATATCGCTAGCTCTAAACGTGAATGATAAAACAGCGTGATCGCTATTTACTAACGGGGTAAGAATGTTTAGGTTGGCAATATCCTCAGTCTCATGGGTAATTACCAAGTCCAACAGAGAAGAACCTTGGTTTACACCAAAACGTGTAGGTTTGGATACATGTTGTACTAATGCATGTTCCATTACTGTTTCCAAGAGCCTGCTATCAAATGAGTTTATAGAGCCTTTAGTGGTCATCTCAGTCCAACTAATGTCAGGTGCATTAAAGTCTCCTAGTATCAAGCATCTATTATTTGCACTCCATAGCCGAATGTGCTCTAAAATAAAGTCATCAGCTAAGCAGATTGGGCTGCGATAGATGACACCGAGTGCAAATGTACAACATCCGACAGTGAGTTCACAGCTAATGACTCCACTAGTTCCACTATCATGGGATTCGCAAACGGAGGAGCGGATATTTATACTATTGGCTATGTATAGAAGGACGCCACCTCCTTTCCTGCATCTATGTCTATCACTTCTTAAACAATGATATCCGGATAATTCTGGGGTGATATCGAAGTCATGGACTAACCGAGTTTCCGTCACAGATACAATGAGTGGCCTTAATTTGTCCACTAATGTTCCCAGCTCGTAGAATTTATGTTTTAGACTACGGGCGTTGGGATATAAAACTCCTAGGGGGAACGACCTATCCACACAGGCCTTGGTAGCATTCGCTTCCAAGACCTGACTATTCGAAAACCCACCAATCGGAGATTTTCTTCACCGTTTTGTCGACGGGTTTCTAGTTCAGCTAGTGCCGTCTTCCTTTTTATTCTATCTTCAAGAGAAACATCTGGTCGCATTCGAATGTCAGAGTTGTCGTGACTTCGAGCGTTACTTAACAGAAGATTACGTTGTTTCTCCGACCCTAAGATTACCTTAAGGAGTCTACACGGTCGGGGTAGAACACTGTCATTGGCCCTTTTACCTATTCTAACTAATTTTTTGACCTGAACACCTTTAGTGTTATCTGGTAATATGCTACGGATATATTCTCCGAGCCTCTCTAAGTCATGGGTGTGTCTAACATTAGGATCTGGATCGTTAGACTCTGGCAATTTACTCACAATAATATTCAAATGATTAGGTTAACAAAAGAACATGTTTAAACAGACAATTTTTTTCTCATATGGCATATGTCACTCCACACGACACCTTTGGATTAAAAATAGGAATCTTTTTGAAGATATAAGGAACTTGTTAGAGAGACACCAAATTTCGCTATCGTGTCGATGAGACAGAGGACCTTCTTCATTTTAACCGTTGTACATAGCAAACGGCTATGTCCACCAGTTATGGATTTTGTTGACGTTTGCCGATGCGGTAGATCCAATAAGTGATTTTAGTGCAATCGGGTAATATTAGGTAAATACAAGGCTTTTCACAATTTCTTGGTGATTAACTGTTGGTTGTGTGTACCGACAGAAGTTGGATTTTATCCTTTAGTATATCCAGAAAATTTGTATATTCCTGGATTATCTTCGCTTATTTAAAAAACTAAGAAAACGAGTCAGCGCGTCACAGAGTTGTAAGTTAATGTAAAAGCACACAAAATTTGTCATTGGCGAGAGAAATCTTAGTGCTGAGGGTCCTAGTTATGGATAAAGTCAAACCACCAACTTATTTAATTTTATGATTAAGCTAGAACAGCTTGCTTATTCAAGGATTTTTTAGTAGATCTCCACCTAATGTACATTAAACAATAAATTCTCTCTACTGTGACAAGATTTCTGTTGTCAAATCATTCCGTAATTCTGTTATAACAACGTTCATCTAATCTTTACTAATTAGGTCGATCGCTGTTTCAGTACAGACTCTTTGAGAGTTTCGTGTGTTGGAAGCAATTTTTCACAGAGAAACTAAGTTTCAATATTATCACACTGAAACGTCATGATGAAAACATTGTCAGGAGCAGAATTCCGAGTCCTAATAAGCCTAGGCCTGTTGTCAGGCTCTATGAACATCGAAATATGTGAATTTAGGAATAACTCAGAGAACGGTAAGAAAACAGTATGACGATGTGGGAGAATATATTTAAAACTTTAAAACAGAGAATCAGTTCACAGGATTGCCCCTGGATTGCCGACTAACATCGAGTGCACCAATAAAGAGGTACTGATTACAGAGGGTTTGACGACCATACTGTTCGAAACTCCATCAACATCGTGAACTAAAGTCCAATGAAAACAGAATTCGAGGTTGGTTGAGTAGAAAAACGTACTTGAGTTATAGACAGATGTATTCTGGCGAAGAATATTTATATAACTTAGTTACCGAATGAGGTGTGCTTTGCAATATACTGAAATGTGCTTCAGTAATGGTACTACGCCATGCTTCCCCAGCCACTGTTTTTTTCCACTAAATTCGAAACAGTCAGCAACAAAGTTGAAGACTTTCGAGACTATTAGTTTTGAATATTTGTTGGCCTTTATAGTGCTATCTTATCAATCGGATAGACATTTGAATCCGTCCAATCAAGGGATAATTCGTATTGGTTAAGTGACATCTTGAATACAGTATTGTGTGTAGCAATACTGAAAATTGTAATATGTTATAGTAGTCTGAGTCGTAGTCCATCCAGTCCCGTTCGGAGGGAGCTTAATATCTCCAGTATATTTCCCTAGTTGAAGTCCACAATGAGTATCCGGCTCACTGACACTACTTCTCCAGCTAGTCCTGTGCTGAGAGCAAGTTATTTATTTAGCGCCGCCCCTGGATAATTCTCTAAAGCTTATGGTTGACAGCGACGGTGAAACATTCGTTTGTCTCAGTAAACTTCGAATCTCTCTGATGTAGTAACATCGTCTTTGTAGCCAGTTCTGTATTGATGTGGAGCTCATGAATGAAGATCGTCCCATAGTTGGTTGATATGGATTCCACTCTGTTCTAGTCTTGGTTTACGGACTAAAATAAAATCCCTTTAGTTGCAACTTCACTGATCTCGTCTGGCATTTTGTTTGAACATATACCTAAACATGTCAAAATATGCCACTGATGTCCACAGTACTGAGGCGATAAACTATGAAACAACTTGTTAAACTGACAACAAACATGAAAAGAGTTACACATGTGGTATGACTATTACACTTTGTAACAACAGGAACTGCAGCAACGCAAATAGCAAAGAAAAGGCTGATAGAGAGTTAATTCTTTCATTAGGCCTTAAAAAGATGACAGAGATGACAAGTCTTTCTATCAATGTACGGATCGGATTGGACATCGGGAATTATAGTGTTAAATTCAAAATATTCGGTTGAAAGGATTTATTCGAGTGTCCTAAGTGCTAGGTTGGATTTCGAACGTGAGTTCGCCTTTCTGATCATGATGGATTTTTTTCACTAATCTCTGGCCTATTTTTCGATCTATTGTTGTGCACATTGAGTTCTGTCAGTCACTTGAATGACCAAACCCCTTTGCGATTTGTTCATTCACATATTATGTTCACTTGTTAAAACTAGGAATATGTTAATTCGAATATTGTAGTTGACCAGCTGATCTGTAGTTACGATTAATTGTGATGAGAGGCGGCAACTCTAAGTTGCTGCCGATAGTTACATTGGCTGACAGGTGAATTCGGATATTAATATCTGAATTGGATATCATCAAGGCGGTTATTAGTACCAATGCTTGTGAACTTCCTCGCTTTCACAAACATTTGGTTTTGAGTAGCGAAATAAGTACAGGTATATAAAGTGAGGTGTAACTTATGGTTTCTGTGTAACGAAGTTGATACATCTTGTATCTACTGATTCGCTTGCGAATCGCTCTTTTTTTAAGTATTTTTACTACCAAATCTCATCTTTTTTTCCAAGTTACCATACTGGTCAAGTCTCAGTAACCTTATTTGCGTCCACTTATCTAGTAAGTGTCCTAGACTAGTTGCTGTGATAAACCCACCTGTTACTTTCCAGATAAGGATGAGATTCGGTGGGATAGCTTCATTATGCTGCATCATTTTTACATTGGACACACCTCGGACACCTGCAACCTGCTTTACAGGTTAGGGTCACGCCGATTATGCAAAATTTAACAATACCTCTTGATACGTAAGGCTGTGTCTGATAAAGATTGGTCGGAAACTCTTCAAAATGAAAAGAATTTTACGGAAAATACAGAATAGTTAATGGACCCTGAAAATGCACCAAGTGCCACCGTCAACTCAGTCTCATATACAAACGATATCACTGTTGGAGACCACCAAACATAACTAATGATAAACTTACCGATGGACCAGACTTCGAACAATAATGTCAAGCGCCCTAAGAAGCGTCTCAGTACTGTTAAGATTCAGAAGCAAGATTTTAGAAATGTATCTATAAGACTGCACAGAGATGCCAAGTGTTATGAATTTAATAAATCGAAAATGCCGTAGAAAATAATATTTGTACAAGATCAAGCCAAATGTGGCTGTGAACGTGGGAGATAGTAATCAATAAACTGAGTATTATTTAGGAACAGTAATCCGTATAATAATAATTCATAGTCCAAGAGGAATGCAGATATACATAATCTAGTTACTCAATAGTTATAAAATAAGAATATATATAAAATAGTAGTTCATGATAAGGTCCCGGAAGTTACCCGTACTCATGTCTTCTCTAGGACATAACACCTCCCCTTTTTTGTAGATTCGAAGTTTAGGTCCTGATTTGAAAAAAATTATCTGTAACTTGGAATTCATCAACATTTTCCTCCCCCACGAAATAATGTTGGATCCTCATATCTCCAAGTTACGATTAATATGACTTTATTTAAAACATATTTCTCGCATTGAATAGAGAATCCACTAGAAATGACTACGTAATGATGAACGACATTCGATTTTAGGTCATCAGAATTTGGCTCTTCTGAAACATTTCCATCAGATTCATTAAGAATTTCACTAGTAGATACTGGGTAACTAGGGAAATCAGCATCTAACAAAATTGCATTAGGTTTCTTACCATTTGATTCATCTGATATAGTTTTCTCATTTTTATAAGAAATTTCTTCAAAATTATATGCATCGTTACGCAAACCCATATTTAGTGAAACGATATGAGAAATTTGGATAAGCTGGTTCATTATAAGCTTCTATCTCCCAATGATTTTGAGTTACACTTGTCACAACTGGGTTGATTGTACTGTTCCAGTCATTTTCTGGATATGAGTCCCGACAGCTTTCTCGACCAATATCACGTGGACCATAATTTTGTTCTGACTGAAGTTTATCTTCAGAGTTCGGCGGAGTCAATAGTACTTCGTTTAATTCTGGGCTCAGGGCTTTATCTACAGAATCTTCTATTTCTTGATCATCTGATACTGTCACAACTTCATGTGCTTTTAGCAAGATATTGTCTTGCTGTGAGCCGGCCAATTTACTAATTTTACATTTTGCAGTTATAAGGGGACTTGAACCCTTTACATGGTATACTTCTGAAACGGCTATTACCGCACCATTGTCTTCATCACAAATAAATTCTTTATTTCTCTGAATCTCTGGTCGAGTGGAAAGTCTGGCCAAAACTACTTAATCAGTTGCTGTTGAAAAGCTGACATCTACTGCTGCCGTATCAATACTTGCAACTGTTCTAAAGAAATCGCCATTTTTGTAACTGCTAATAATAATATTAACTCCGGAAACCACTGGCAATTATTATAGCTTGTTTATTTCCAAAATCACGTCCCAATTGTTGTACTTGTTTTTACGAAATCCCCGTCGCCGATTTGTTATGAATTTAATAAATAAAGAATGCCGTATACCAGTTTGTTGTGGTCTTACGTCCGCTCTTTATCACGTGAGTTATCCGCCAATCGGAATATGACTTCTCCAATCTTAACCCTGCCAAATCAATGACGTTCGATCAGTATGGGCAGTCTAGCGTCCTTTATTTATTTATTTAATCACGTAAATACTGGTGCAAGAGGGCACCAGATATATATGCGCCACACAAAAATGGCATTGTGAACAGAAAGCGTTATTTCATTTGTCTGCGCGAGGGCTGTGATACTGCCCGGGTGCCCGAACCGAAGCAGGTAGTTTTCTTAGGGGACCACACCCCGAACCTTTGACCTAAAGATCTGATCAACAAGGCAGTGGAGCATCGTAAGGAGATGCAGTCCCATGGTAGCCGGTGAACAACGATTGGTTCATACGCCATTTGTTCTCTCAGGATACTGGGACCCATGTGGACCATTGATTTGGAATCAGCGTTATCCAACTCCCCTAGATGGACTTTCTGTGTCCATCAACCCGGTTAAAGCGACGGATATTCGCTTTTCGTCCTCTCAATTTCGTAAGCAACACCCCCGCCACGAGAAGTAAGTGATAGATCTGTATCGGTTCAGGTTGTCACACCTCTCAATGAAGGAAAGAAAAAAGCCACTGCTACACCAATTAAAGATAGTTTTGTCTACAATGGGAATGTAACACAAGAAATGCAGTTGAAAAGAAGCAAGGGAGGTTGTAGAAAGGAGAGAAGAGAAATGGAGAATATATGCTACTACCCTGGTGCCCTAGATTTTGTGCTGTCACCCGGGTGCCCCCTTCACGTTTGCCCCCCAAATGCCCTGGTACGGCCGAGAGTGGGGAGAGTCCGCTCTTCCTCTCGAAATGCTCTCATATGGCCACGCGAATATATAGCCTCTGCCAGGGAAGTCCTACTCACTGCCTTCTCGTGGAGGGGATGTTGTTTACGAAATTGAGAGGACGAAAAGCGAATGTCCGGCGATTTAACCGGGTTCGTGGATGTGGAGTGTCCACCTAGGGGAGTTGGAAAACCCTGATTCCAAACCAATGGTGCACATGGGCTCCAGTATCCTGAAGGAACGAATGGTGTATGAACCAATCGTTGGTCACCGGTTACCATGGGACTGCATCTCCTTACGATGCTCCACTGCCTTGTGGACTAGACCTTCAGGTCAAAGGCTCCGGGTGTGGTCCCCTAAGAAAACCACCTGCTTCAGTCTGGGCACCCAGGCAGTATCACAGCCCTCACACAAATCAAATGAGATTTGTGCGGCGCATATATATCTGGTGCTTCCTTGTACCAATATTCATGTGTTTAAATAAATAAAAATAAATATCTTCGTTTATAGACTGCGACTATTGCTCATGCCCTAACCAGGAAGTTTGTACATCCTAACATGTCTTAGACCAGCAGTTAGTGACTTTATATTTTGGTGCCATGTCACAACTCACAAAGTACTTCTGAATAGTCTGAATGGGTGATTGGTGTTAGATCCCCACTTGTACTAACGTCGAAAGGGCTATGGCTAGCTTAAAACAGAATTGTTTAAACCATTGATTACCTCAGTCTATAAGAATGGACAGGAATCAGTTCGCGTCTGATATTCTGGCATCGATAATCATTCGATACTTTACTTTGGCTCGTAAATAACTAAACCAAGAAGATAAGGTTTGCTTAGATTTGGATGTGGATAAACTGTCCAAATATCCACTCTTCATCAAGTCTTAGAACATAAGCATGCTTATGGACGCCCAAATAAGGTTGCAATTTTCGGCCGAAGGGATGTATTTGACTTCAATCAAAACAAAAATACATTGATCGTCGACGTGTAAACATTGAAAGTCGAGTAATTACTGAGAATAAATGTTTTTCTTTTTAAGGTTTTGGCATAGTACTGATGCGTTTCACCTCTTCACTATCCTTGAGCAACAGAGTTTTTAGAAACAAGACATACTGTAACGCGTTCAGAATTCTATCAGTTTTGTTTCTCTTTTATCTTTTACAACATTTCCTAATTGATCTCACCATTAAGTACGAGTATACTAAGTATGTGTAGTAAATTCTGTGCTCACATTTTCCTTCTCTTCAGATTTCCCTGCCGACAGTGGTCTGCCACCGCAAAACTACTACTTTTCTACATGCCTCTGTTACAACGTCCCTAAAGGCCAATTCCAAATTTACTAATTACTGAAACTTTCAGTCGTTTTACTTGCAGCCAAATACAACCAAGATCTATGAGGCAGATTGGTGGAAGGTGAGTTAATCAGACTTTACGAAGTCGCGGTGTGCATTTGCTTAAGGTTTTTTATTTCAGGTCATTAGCATGTCAGATTTTTGTTGAGGGAACAAACCGTGACTCGTTTCGAGAAATTATCAATATAAATAGATACATCACTTAAATAACTGTTTTGCAGTCCCTTACTCTTTAACATTTTCTTAACAGTGCACTGTCATTGTTTTGCTGTTCGCTCGCTATCTTCCTGTAAATTTCTTGTCAGTTTACCTTTAGGCTTTTTCAATACTATCAAGTAGTGCTTGGTAATTTCCTCTGGGATATAGTGAAGTGGCTTAGTTGCTAAAACACTCAACTTTAAATCACTGAGTTACATTTTGAGATAACCGGATAGTATCAATAATACTTGCAAAAATAGTGTAAATCAAAGTTAGATACCAGATCTTATACTTCGTTACCATGTTGCGTCATCCCGAGCTCGCCGTAAGGTCACAGTTATCTTAAGTATCTTCAATAATTGCTTCTCAGTTCATAATTCTAAAGTTAACACAAAAGGTTAATATGATTTTCAAATATGTCCAATTAATTAATAGCTACTGAAATGCCTTAACGTAAAAAAACATCTGGTAACAATCCAGATCACTAGTCTTTGATGTATCAGAATCTGCCAGTAATTTAGCTTGATTCTAAGACAGAAATACGACAACTGAGTTTTGTTTAGTGTATTTTATGAATTAAAGATAACTGAAAAAAATTGTAAATGGAAATTTCTTTTGATCGCTGGATTTTCTCCATACTGGGTGTAATGCTTTCGGTGAGGATGGTGAATCATCGATAAAAATTGAATGAGTCTCAACTAAAGAGTGCAAAAGCATGTGGTATATATCTTGATCTGTCATTCATTATCGTATGCTGTAATGACTAGACTAATGGTAGTGAAAGCTTAGAGCTCACCACATTAATTCTTAACACTAACACATGGATTTACTGTATGTAGACAAGTTAATGTTTCTTGTTAGGTACTTCATAGTAAGGCATTATAGTATACTTATGTATACATGTCTGGCAAACATGTTCTAATCACTTTCCGTGAATTCATAATATATTGATAATGTATGGTCATTCCATTCATAGGTAATATTTGAGTAATGAATTTTTTTGTTGAATTTATTCTCTAATTTTCCAGATGGTTCCACCATAACTTAACTGGTTTGGAAGCTGAAAAACTGTTGACTTTAAAAGGTGTCAGTGGTAGTTTTCTTGCTCGCCCAAGTCACAGTACTCCAGGAAGCTTCACACTCTCAGTTCGTCGTGGCGATGAAGTTACACATATTCGCATACAAAATACCGAGGAATTCTTAGATCTGTATGGTGGAGAAAAGTTTGCCACTTTGTCAGAATTGGTGACATACTACATGGAGAATGAGGGGCAACTCAGAGAAAAAAATGGTGATCTTATTGAGCTGAAATATCCTCTCATTTCGGAAGATCCGACAACTGAGCGGTAAGTGATATGAAACTTTAGTACCATTTATCACCTATTAATTTAAGTGGTACTGAAGCGTCACAAGCATTCTTTTTAAGGTGAGAATTCTTAGCTCTGAATTTCCATTAAGTGAATAAAACGTAAACATCAAGATCTTCTAATAAATCGGATCCCATAGGTGTTATAATATCCATTTTGTTATTCAGAAGGTATGGTTTCCATAAATTTAAGTAATTGTTCAACAGATAGTTCTTCTGTAGGATATGTTAATTTTCGATTTTCACAGTTGAAATTACGAGTCGATCTAAGCTGGACCACTGCTAAAAACATGGAGCCACTGGGAGGTCGTTTCTTCCTAGTATGGGACTCCTCAGCAGTTTACACCCACGACTGCGCACGCGGGACTCAAACCCCAGGACGTTCGGTCTTTCGCGCGCAAACACCTAACCTCTAGACTACTGAGCCGGCATTCAACAGTGTTAATATTTAACTTCAGTCTATGATTCTGCGCGACCTTTCATCCATTACCTGGGTTGTATAACTATTTCACACCTGACACGCATTGGACTCCACTGGTCATGGCTTTCAGTTAGAACTCCAGGAGTTACATCCTAAAGGTAGTCGCTAGTGAGTATGTGATTGTCATCAATATGGAAATGCCGAGGAGTCCTAGACTAGAACGAAACGACCTTACGGTGCTTCCAGGTTTTCAATGGTGGCTTATACTAGATCGACTTGTGATTTCAAGTGTGGAAATACTACAATCTCCACAAATCCCCATACTGATAAAAAATTTTAGTTGTTGAAAACTTCTCTTTATGTGCTTCAACCTCAGGACTCAGGTTTATCTTATTGTCCTAAATAATCATAATGAGTTAACTTAAATACACTCAAAAATGTAATGAGTAATGATCATTAAACGTTCTATTCATTGACATAGTGGGAACCCATAATACGGAAAACCTCCAAGTTAGTTATTGCTTGCAACGAGAATATGGTATTCAATGTGTTCCCATGTTGCGTTTTGTCATTCCATCATCATATGTTGTACAACGAGCGTCGTGAAGAATAACTGATCGTGTCTTCGCACATTTCACTATTCTCTTTCCGATCAGTGTCCACAATAACCTCGATTATCTCGAGGATTATCGCCTAAAGTGATGTTAAAACGCGTCTGACAAATGTCGGTTGCGAATTGAATTTTAAATGCTGACTGCTGAATAGGTTATGTTTTCGTCGAATTTCAGTGAAGGAGTAAGTCTTAGATAACAAAAGACATTAGCTTACTTCCTCCCAAGTTACTCTGACCGAAAATCGCAATTTAAGAAGATGTTGACTTGGGGCAATTCAATCTAGCTGATACTTCATAAAAATTTGACCCGTCAGCTATATGAAAACCTTGGTGTAATCAAAATGACAAATGAATCTAGAAGCGATTTACAATTATTAATAGACTTTCTTCACACAAATATCAGTTACAATTACCATTTTCCAGAACCCTAAAGTATTCAAAAGTTGTCGTTCCGCTTTGCCGTATTTCGAAATCCGATAAATAATTAGTAATTCGTAATTAAGGCAACCAAATATTTCGAACAGTAGGTGAAATTGTATGGCATTCCATTCCCTATTACATACTTGGATGTGAAATTAAACGGGATTCGAAGAAACATTTCTGACCTGGACAATGTAAAAACAAAATTCAAATTCTCGGAAACTGATGTTATAATACGTAACTGTTCATTGAAAAGGATTATAAAATGTAATCTAAAATGCTGGTAGGGTTTTCTTGCAAAAAATGAACCTCTTATAAGACTCATTAGAAATGAACCTTCGAAATTAGCAAAAATCTACACAGATTGTTTTCTATGAAAACAAGTACATGGCAAGTCAATCGGTGTAAAATTTTCATCACCGAGCGCACGTGTGTTTGTGCAAATAGTCTTTGACTCATATCTTAAATGAGAATTCATTTTGTATATTTTGAAGTGAGCTAGACGTTTTATAACTTATGATTTATTTGCTTTCGATAGTTCTCTTTTGGTTCATGGTATAACTGAATAGCATCCACAAATGATGCTCTATTCCAATCAGAATGAAATATATAGATAGAAACTATGACTACTTTTAAACACCTTGTTATCACTCCGCCCAGTAACCTTTAGTTTGAGAATGTTCCCGAAGTCTGTGTCGTAAGTTGATCAGTTTTACAGCATGTAATGCACTGGTCTGTATACGTTTTACTCCAGCGATTATATAAATGTAACGAATAGTCCATGGTTTCACTGTTTTCTAGAATTCACTCACCTTGGTCTCACGTAAATGCGAAAGAGTTCAAGGTCTGCAATTTGACGTGAATAATGTAGTCTAGAAGTAAATCAGATACATGCAATATGCCATTCGATTGATAAAGCTTCTCAAAATGGTTACTTAATAACAAATATGAAATCATTAAATATTATTTTATATTTTCGTGTCAGTAGTTATTGGATAGTTTACATTTTTTTATACCGATTTGTTTATATGATTGTTTAGTTCTAAGTATAGTGTACAAATATTTTAATACAATTTTTTACAGTTGGTTTCATGGAAAAATCACAGGAAAAGAAGCTGAAAAGATGCTATTAGAACGCGGCAAAGCTGATTGTTTTTTAGTTCGTGAATCTGTTCATAGGCCAGGTTCTTATGTTCTGTCAGTTCTAACAGGTGAACAAGTAGCACATATTATGATTCATGGGAAGCCAAATGGAATGTATGATGTTGGGGGAGGGCACCAGTTTTCTTCATTAAAGGAATTAATAGACTTCTACACAAATACTCCCATGGTCGAAAAAAATGGAGGCTTGGTGTCACTAAAACAGGTAAATTAAAAGTTGATATATTCCTCGAAAAAAGCCTATGGCTAGTCAGACATAATCAACATATTGCTTTATACAGATTTACATCAACCTAGTCGCAAAACAACAAGAAGAAGAAATAAGATTAACAAGATTGGAAGGACTTGATATAATAGTGGTCACAATTATGGTGAACAAGACTAGATATTTGAGAATACGGCTCTAAAATAAGAGATGAATTCCATAAATAAAAGTGCTGAACTATGTTTAAACTCAAAATCCAGAGGAAAGTAATGAATAGATTCATTTACTCCACTGCAATCGATTCTCAGTCAATCACCCAACGTCTCCAAGCTATAATCTCAGTTATCTCACAGATTCCAACTAGGTAGTATACACCTATCAATATATCTTAGTTCAGCGTGGATCTTTGTGAATAGGTAGTTCGTTTCATCATCCAGAGTTCTTTCAATTCATTCGCTGGCTTCCAAACATTTCTAAACAATACATTGTCTCTGCAAAATTGAAGCAGAATTCATAACTTATCAAGATTATGCCTTATTTTATCCTATCTATTTCGTGCTTTTGTAGAGTGTGATGAATTGAATCTCAAGCCGTTTTACCGTACTGTTCAGTCATGTATGTAAAAGACAGACGGCCTAAATTTCTGGATCTTTTGTCATGAATATTTTTAACGCTATTCCATATTCGGAATATCGAACCGTAGAGATTGAAGATAAAAATTGAACTTCAAACCACGAAAAGGAGTCATTAAAGAAAGTCGTGAACGTAAACTAAGTCGTTTCAACTATGTGTTGCTCACAGAAAGCCATCGTTTAATATATAGTTCTTTCTGATTACAAACGTAAAGTGAAGTAGGGTCCAACGATAACTAAGGTATGTCAGTAAGCCTACTAAGCGCTTACTACTTTTCGGTTGTGTGTGGTATAAAACAGTTCAGTAACTAACAGGACTCTCGTTGTTTTGTAACAACAACGTAAACACTAAAGTGTCATTGTTTGCTGTTATACGACTTGGGTTATTTTTTCTCTGATGCTGTTAGGATAAAAAACAGTTACAATAGGATTATTATGAGTTGTTACATCGTGACACTAGAATAAATATCACATAGATGCCTAGAATTTATCTTATTTATTACTACTTGCTGTCAGCTATTTTAAAGCTATAGAGAAGTTAATTTCCAGCAAACTATCACAATCCATCGTTCTAATTGACTAGTTTTAAGCTATTATTAAAAGTCACGATATTTTTTGTTCATATCATGAAAACTCCAACTAAATTTGTTATATATTGACTTATTGTTTGTTATATAACTACAATAATTCGCCGGGTTTGAATTCTTAAAGTCCTGTCAAACATATGTACGTAGTGAACGAACACTCAGGTGGGAAAACTTATTTATTATTTATTGCAAAATTACAGAGTACATTCACAAAATATGAAGACGACATATTAGATACATAATTAGCACATCTTTAATCAGTTGTCTTTCACATGCTTCATGATTCTTTCAATTCTATTGTTACCAAAATTACTTTCTGTCTCCCTTTCTGTTCTTGTTAATTGAATCTTCCCAATCTTCCGCTGAGATGCATCCCACCTTCGATTAGTGATACATACTACTTATGCCTGTCAACATTAGTAGTATGCGGCACATGGTAACTGGTTGCTTTTATTAGGTTTATCCTTGATCTTAATTTCTGAGATAAGGTGAAAGTTGTACTAATATTTTCTAATGTTAAATAAGTACAAAAATACAACCATCTCCGATTTTCACTTAAACGAAGCTTGCTTTCTACAAAAATTTAATTTGTCTATTAATCTAACGTTGTAATTACTTTTGCATTCGAATATAGGCTTTGAGGTGGATATTTTATTTTAGATTGCATAATTTCACCATTGTAACCATACGAGATAAACGAATCTGCATTTGTTATGTATATATTTAAGGCATCAAGCTGTATCTCAAATTTTTCTTTCAGAATAAAAAATAACATAGTGGATACTGTTTTGTGGATGGGGCTTTTACAAAACTTTTATTTACTTTTTTGATGTATGCACGAATATTACAACTCTTAGAACATACTGTTCATTTAAATATCCTTAATAATCTTTTTTTTCTCAATTAGCCTTTCAATGCTACTCGATTTAACGTTTCTACCATTGATCAGCGTATGCACCAGTTAGAACAAGAAAGTGGTCATGGTTCTGGGTTAGCTGGATTTTTAGAGGAATTTGAAGAATTGCATCAGGAAGCCCATGTAATTTTATTTTTTGTATCTTGAAATTTTACACCGATTGACTTGCCATGTACTTGTTTTCATAGAAAACAATCTGTGTAGATTTTTGCTAATTTCGAAGGTTCATTTCTAATGAGTCTTATAAGAGGTTCATTTTTTGCAAGAAAACCCTACCAGCATTTTAGATTACATTTTATAATCCTTTTCAATGAACAGTTACGTATTATAACATCAGTTTCCGAGAATTTGAATTTTGTTTTTACATTGTCCAGGTCAGAAATGTTTCTTCGAATCCCGTTTAATTTCACATCCAAGTATGTAATAGGGAATGGAATGCCATACAATTTCACCTACTGTTCGAAATATTTGGTTGCCTTAATTACGAATTACTAATTATTTATCGGATTTCGAAATACGGCAAAGCGGAACGACAACTTTTGAATACTTTAGGGTTCTGGAAAATGGTAATTGTAACTGATATTTGTGTGAAGAAAGTCTATTAATAATTGTAAATCGCTTCTAGATTCATTTGTCATTTTGATTACACCAAGGTTTTCATATAGCTGACGGGTCAAATTTTTATGAAGTATCAGCTAGATTGAATTGCCCCAAGTCAACATCTTCTTAAATTGCGATTTTCGGTCAGAGTAACTTGGGAGGAAGTAAGCTAATGTCTTTTGTTATCTAAGACTTACTCCTTCACTGAAATTCGACGAAAACATAACCTATTCAGCAGTCAGCATTTAAAATTCAATTCGCAACCGACATTTGTCAGACGCGTTTTAACATCACTTTAGGCGATAATCCTCGAGATAATCGAGGTTATTGTGGACACTGATCGGAAAGAGAATAGTGAAATGTGCGAAGACACGATCAGTTATTCTTCACGACGCTCGTTGTACAACATATGATGATGGAATGACAAAACGCAACATGGGAACACATTGAATACCATATTCTCGTTGCAAGCAATAACTAACTTGGAGGTTTTCCGTATTATGGGTTCCCACTATGTCAATGAATAGAACGTTTAATGATCATTACTCGTCACATTTTTGTCTCACGAACTTCAAAGTTGTAATTATAAGATGTTTAATTTGTGGTTCGAAAAGGTATTCCTAATGTATATTTTATGTCACGTCTGTTAATACCCAAGTGAGTACGCTTTAAACCGATTTTGAATACTATTATTTTATCTTTTTTTCTGTCTTTCGATTTGAAGTCGATTATTTATCATGGCTACAACATCGAATATAGCTTTGTGTTCGTTAGTTTATCGTTGTCAATGTTTACAATATTTTCATATTACCCAAAGTATTTCTAGGTCTGCTCAATTCGCTGTCCTGTCCGTCCTGTGATGCTTTTTTGTTTCAGTTTTGAATCATTACCTTTATCTCCGCGTTTGTAAACAAGGTTGCTGATTTTGGTTTTGAGAAGTTTTACTGTTCATGGATTGTGATTTGAAGTCTGTTCTATATTTTAGGTGAAGAATAATCCACGTGTTGAAGGCTATCAGTCTTACAATAGGGATAAAAACCGATATAAACATATCCTTCCATTTGATTGGTCTCAAGTTAAACTACTTGATGGTAATCCTGAAGAACCAGGTTCTGACTACATCAATGCCAATTACATTTCTTGGCCTGTGAGTTATGTTGATGTTTTTTATATTTTGTTTTTTTTCCACTGCATTACTTTTAATTACGTCCTTCTCGTTACCTCTGGAGGCTTATTTGTTCCAATCAAAAATGTTAAGACGAATTACCGACTCTTGATCAGTAAATATAGCACTTTCTTTTTTGTGTCTGTTCATCTCCGTATGTGCAAGGCATTTAATTCTCGCTTTCAATGTGATCGAGTTGATGGCTGATCACTAGACCAAATTATTGACCGAAACCACCGATTAAAGTGCGATCAAAAACAGGACCAAAAACATGACATTACGTCTAGTAAAGTAATATGATCGGCTGTCGTAATTGACCAGGGAGTATGAATTTTGTATGTCACTCTAATCATTTAACGTCTGGATCTCAATCATCATTCTTATCCATAATATCAGACATGCTGTTGGTGATGTGACCTTACTCGTTTAAATGTCTCAACCTGAGATATGAAAGCTCTTGCAAAGTTCCGAATTCTCTCTTATTCATCTACCGTCGTCATCATTGAAGTATCGTTGTGCATTAGTCATCAATCTACTTATTCGACCTTGGTTCACTACACTCTTACTTATACTACCCCCGATTCATCTTTGTCCTGAAACCAATCAAATTACACAAATCATCATAACACTAGGTACATGTCAGTCAGTTTAACATAAGTTAGATGGGCACAAATGAGACCACACTACGACTTCAATCATCTACAAACAATGACTTGCTTAATGATTTGTCGGTCTGTTTCTTTCATTTTGAAGTGAGATTTACATGTTTAAACTGTTACACTGTGTGATATCAACCAGGTTTTATGGTTTATTTTTATGTGTGGCTAACTAAAATCATAGTAAGATGGTGGCTGGAGGTAATCATATGTGATCACATAAGTGATATTGATCATCACCCAGCTATCAATCAATTGTAAATAAAATCGTAGTCTTTGGATCAGTGAATTGTCTTTTTACGGTAAACAGTGATTCACCATCGATTTTGTGACTATGTGCCTCTGTTTTTTCTTCTTAATCCAAGGAGGCTGATTTCGAACATGCTTTTTAGAATTATTGATTATAATGTTTCCACTTATTGATTTTTGATTCTTAAACCAAACCTGTTGCAGGTCAATCTAACTGAATCTCTTTCTAATGGAAGTTCTTTCTGTTGTGTCAAATATCATCCAATTTCTTCAGTTCCGGACCAGAATAATAATCAACAATGTAATGCTTCTATCACTACCTCCAATTCTCCACACACTCCAAATAGTTCTGCTGCATTTTTTTTCAATGGAAAACCACGTTACATAGCCACTCAAGGGGCAGTCGCTAATTCACAAGATGCATTTTGGCGTATGATATGGCAAGAAAAAAGTGCCGTGATCGTTATGATCACGAAAATAATGGAGCGTGGTAGGGTATGTCATTTTTGCTAAACATCTGTTTTTTTCTCTATAAGTACCCTAAAATTACAAAAACAAATGGGTATCGTTCTATCTGAATCTTTTCTCAGTCCTCCTTTATGTAGTTTGTGTGATTTATCAAATCGTATTAGAAAAGATTCCAATTTTTCATTATTCATAAGAATAGTCAAGGATCTCGTGAACAATTTGCCGTATTCAACATTCATTTACTGCGATGATAGCCATATAATTTTATGTGTCTTAACGGTTGTTTACAGCTTTTTTAATTCATCGTAATCATTAAAAAGTTGACAAAAATATTGGAGACTAGTTACAAACTCAATGAATGCATAAAACACTGTTTAAGATAGTCATTTTTTTACTGTAATTTTGCAGAGCACCAAATTTTGTTTTCTCATGATTATCTTTACTAATCTATTGATTAAAATCAGTCTACAGTGCCCAGTCGAAATTAAAGTCAAATCATCACTTAATTATTTTATAGAGTCCCTTAAATTCTCTGTCGTTTCATGAGACATGTCACAGAAAATGTAAAGACATGTTATCAGTATCTAGTAAAAATGTAATTCAACGGAATTTTTGAAAGCTTGTTTGACAGGTTGCTTTCCTAAAATTATCTATTGCTCATTAAGATACCTATCCATCGTCAACTAACGGTATACTTATGACAATAGTATTTGATGAGTACTTCCTAAATGCTCAGGATGTTTTATATAGTCATGCCAGTTAGTTTTGAATTTAAAAATAAAAATAACTTTCAAACATTTGTGAAACTTTTATAATCATAATGTTATGTAGAAATCTACCAAACTGACATTTAGAAACAAACAAACAAACATTTCTTGTTTCGTTTCTTCGGCTTTCCGAATTGAGTCTTGATAAATTTCCCTGAAAAACCCATATATTGTGTATAGAGATCCATTGATTGAGTGATAATTTTTATTTAGATGCCAAAGCATTATCGATTGCCGCATGGTATTTATTAAATGAACAAAAACTCCTTGCCATGTATTATCTTTGTTTTCAATTATAGAATAAATGTATTCGTTATTGGCCAACTGCAGAAGAAGGTGTACGAGAGTTCCCGAATTATGGTGGTACGATTCGTGTCCGACATTTGTCTGAAAGAAATTCTGTTAATTACACTCTACGTGAACTTTATATGACTAGAGATTCTTCTGTATCAACAGAAAAATCAGAACATCAGTTTCCTCACTTACCCGAATCTGTTACTTCCACTTCCACTTGTTCAAGTCCTACCATCTCCGATACACCATTTGATCGGAAGCATTGCAAATCAAATAACACAAAATTGCATCAAACGGATACCACCGTCAGTAGTCTTGAAAGTACATCTAGAGAAGTAAATTCAGGAAATGGACTTACTGTTTATCACTATCATTTCACTGTTTGGCCCGATCATGGAACTCCTAGTGATCCTTCATGTGTACTCGATTTTATGCATGACATATCCGCTCGACAGGTAAGTTAAATATTTTTTGTATCCACTTTATGGTTGTTCTTGAAAGTATACTTCCAACTGTTTTTCGACGAGTGAGTAGATTAAAACCTTATAGTATCTCAATTGCCTGGTGCGGATTTCTATGGTGTCTGATTAGTTAAGTCACTTTTATCAAAGTGTTGGTTTATCTTTTTGATTTTTATTAAATGGGTAAAAATGAATACATCGAGCCAATCAAATATCATGCAAAGTGATAAATGCACGCTATTGAAATTTCTAAGGTATGAGACACGCTTAGTGGCTTAATTTTCTAATGGACAGACGTACATGTGTATAAACGAGTGTACATGCATTCCCGATTCGGTTTAGCTAACAAACATCCGTTCTCACCTCACTCTTTTCATTCGAGTAGCTGGCTGGGTTAGTGTGTAGGGATATCGCTTATCAGTATCGGAACTGGAAACCGAACAACACAATAAAAACATGTTTTCGAGAGTATAAAGAAAAATGTTTACTTTTGATAACTTCTAATCTATGATCAGCAGTCATTTCTTTGTAAACTCTTAGTGTATACATGAATATAACACCCTAGGTTTTCAGTATCGTTTAGCAATGTTTCTTTGTTGAAATAGTGTAATCCTTCAACTTAAGAAACCTATTTTAGTTTTCTTTAGAAAAAGTTTAGATTTTTCTTACATTTCACATTCTACGTGAGTCTTCCTATTAAATAGCTGGTTTATTCTCTATAACTTTACATTAGCAAGCAATACTGGCTGGAACGTAGGTTAATTGCTGAGTTCCCAGAATTCAGTTCTAAGCAAGGAAAGGGTCTGAACTATTTAACATAGAAGAAATGATTAACACTGATTACAAACTAATAACGTGTTGTTATTTTATACTGGATAACGTTTGTGAAGTTTTGCCTTACATGACTTAAATAAAATAACTTCTTTCTATGTTTATACGACTGCTGAAACGAGTGTGTCACCAATCAAACGTTAGTATTCATAATGGATTTATTTAATTGTCCGAGGATTACTATTTTATGAATTATATCTGTTCTAATTGAGTGTACATTAACCGTATAAAGACCATAGAACAAATCATTCTTCAAGGTTTAATACTCTTGAATCGGCCGTCCATTAGTTTAAGTCATCTGCCACTGGCTAACGAAATGCTTTTAAATTTTTTTAACCACTTCTGATCTTATTGACTTTCGTAAGCTACTTGATGGACAAGAATTTATAAAGTACGTAAAACAGCCCAGTCATATGGTTCAACATAACCTAGCTTCTCTCCCAATCCCTTAGTTGTAGTGTCAAATAAGTGTGGGTCATCCATACGGTGTATTTCTAATTATTCAGTCAATCAACAGTAAATCGTATCTATGCTAGACTATAAAGTGGACGTAATTGGTGCCTAATATTACGCTCTAACAACCCAATGAATAGAAATACTTTTGCATTGTACCTAAGATTTATTGATTGTTTTATTGTTTAATACATTTTAAAAGACAATGTCAACTTACTGTAATTTATTTGGTACCTTTCCATTTCTTGTCTAACGTATGCATTTTTTATGATTGATATTTAGCTGCATTCGAAATTAATCAAGTAGGTAGCTGCTAGAGATGTAGATAATTTGAGAGTAAATGTTATAACTTGAGAATCCCCGTCATAAATGTCGACTTGGGAGTATGCTAAGTCACATGACTACAGACACTTGTCTGTTTGTTTACCTAAGGACTTATTATTATTTTTCATCATTTGAACACATAAATATTGGTGCAAGGAAGCACCAGATATATATGCGCCACACGAAAAAATTGTTACCTCATTTTAGTTGTGTTGGCTGTGATACTACCTGGGTGCCCAGACCGAAGCAGGTGTTTTTATGGGGGGGGCCACACCCCGAGTCTTTGACCTAAAGGTCTGACCCACAAAGCAGTGGAGCATCGTAAGGAGATGCAGTCCCATGTTAGCCGGTGACCGATATTGGTTCATACGCCATTTGTTCCCTCAGGATCTTGAGGCCTATGTGCACCATTGATTTGGAATCAGGGTTTTCCAACTCCTCTAGGTGGACTTTCCGTGTCCACTAACCTGGTTAAAGCGCCGGACATTCGCTTTTCGTCCTCTCAATTTCGTGAACAACACCCCAGCCACGAGAAGGCAGTGAGTAGGACTTCCCTGACAGAAGCTGGATACTCGTGACTGTGTGAGAGCATTTCGAGAGAGGGAGAGTGGGCCCTTCCCACTCTCGGCCGTACCAGGGCATTCGGGGGCCACTATAGATATCAATAATCAGAAGTGCGTTGATATAAAGTGGGATGAAGTTTTTTACTATTTAAAAGTAAATAGTCAATCTGGTGTAGTCCATAAATTGTATTCCTTTTTCCTTTCAGTGGACAATCATAGTCTGTATTATCTATATAAATCAGTAACTTTCGTTTTTGATAGATTCAAAATTATGTAAAAGCAGCTATCGTATACCTGGTTTTCAGTAGCTCTCTAGCAAATGTTGGTTAGTGAACTATTTTTGTGTCTTTTTATGTTGTGATGTATTGTAAATGTTTCATTATTTGAAGTGGTATTTGCTCTTATTTTTATTCAGGATAGTATCCCAGGCGCTGGACCTATTGTTGTTCACTGTAGTGCAGGCATTGGACGTACTGGAGCATTTATTGTAATTGATATGCTTATAAATTATATCAAAACAATGGGTCTTAACTGTGACATAGATATTTCCCGTACAATCCAAGCAGTTCGTGAACAACGTTCTGGGATGGTTCAAACTGAAACTCAATATAGATTTATTTATAAAGCTGTTCAGCAATATGTAAATACAATGTCCAAGCGTATACAAATGGATAATGTGAGTTTTTTTTTCATTTTGAATTGAAAATCCAAACATGATAATACCATAGTTTACATACAGGGACCACTTCTCGAATTTTTTCGTGATGAAAATATGAATGAGCATCCATGCACTCACTATCAACTGTCTTTCATATATTTCTAAGCTTTTTTTGAAAATTTAATACTTTTAATTATTCATTTTACAAAATAAACCAAAAGAATATTTCCACTATTTGATGAACACAGAAAAATCGTCTTTTATTATATTCTAACACTGACTTGTCAGATAATTAAAATAACCCATTGTATCATTGAATAAAAATAAAGAGGATTCAGCGAAAATTTTCTTCTCGATGAAATCATTTACTTAAGCTGTAAATTATTTTCGTCCTTCTATTCTTCTCTTACTACTTGATTATTGCGTAACCTCATTTGATAATAAGGGTCTCGAATCAATTTATGATGCAGTCTCTTCTCTCATTCAATAGACATATAATTACCATACAACTATGAGTACCAATGTACAGCTTAATTAAACGATTTTGTCTAAAAAAAATTTTTCACTGAGTTCTCTTTATTCGCTGAATTGTCAGTTTTATTACCTAGTGGGAACCAATTTATTAATAATAAACACTGTCTTAAAAATCTTGTGATTATAAATATTTGTTACTTTAATTTTGTAATGCTCATAGGATCTTCGCCGTACTGGAAGAGATTACACTAATATCAATCGTGCTGCTGATGACATTGGTGTAATTGGAACATCAGCTGTCAGTATATTTCCAACGGTTTGTTCATCATTGGGTTTTAACTCTCATGAACAACAAAGTATGACATCAAACTTTAATCCTGGAGCAAGTGTCAACATATCCTCAGTTACTGGACCTTCTGCGCTTGCTTCAAACAAACAATGTAATTGTCCTATTCATTCTTGTTCCCAGAGACAATCAACATCAAACCATAATATATCTCAAGCTTCCGCTTATCCAACTAACTGTTCACAAACTGCTATTTCATGTACAACATTGCCCTGCACCGCCCCAGTTGTATCCGTTTCGCCTCGCAATGCAGATTCTACAACTGGGAGCTTCTTCCATCGACTGACTGCACCAAGTCGTCCTCGTACGAAATCATGATACTCTTTGAAGACATTTTATCCGATTGATTTAATGTGAGTTTCTGTCGGAATTTCAGCAAGAATTATATTTACTTATTTTGTATTCATGTAAAATGTATGAAACCGTAAACTTTTAGAGGACTATCATTTTAACTGCTACACCACATGTTGTTAATTGGGTATTTATGATCGTTTGGTGGCTTGCGATATGATTCCATATGATCGAATAATCTTGATTTTAATGAAGTATAAATCATATTTACTTTGTATATATTGAACCGATGTATCCTGTCAATAACAACGTGGATATGGGTAGTCGATTACGAAGGTATTTGAGGAGCATATATTCCAACATAGTTTAGACAAGCGATAAGAGACGTGAATACGCTTGAAGTCAATTAGCAAAAATAGCTAGCTCTCTGAGTACTAGGTGACTTAGTCTTCGTAAACATGAACTGTATACAAGTATACAGATATATACACACTAACATACACACATGTACAAAACATGGTTAAGGTTACACGTGAGTAATTGACCAGGTCTGTCAAATAAAAGGATAAAAATAATTTATCTGCCCAAAAAATAGAACAAATCAAGTAAGCGTGTGTTAACATTGACTTGCTACAATCAACTTCTGAACATAAATCTTCTCGTCCTAACTTTCCAAGGGTTGACCTCCAATCGTAAGACTGTCATTAACCTAGAGTAAAAAGAATACATATTTCTCACTGATGGTGTCAATAAAGTAAAATTTTCTTAATGCTTTGAGTTACAGCGCAAGGATTTTCTTGGATGTTTTTCTCATCTATTCCACCACAACTCCATTTCCTCTCATCATAGTTGCGTCTATTTTACAGAACCCGTCTGCTGAACATATCGGAATGGATCTTTGAATTATTTTATTGAAAATGTATCAAAGCTGTTTTATAAGTGGATGACATATATTTCGATTCAAGCTATTTATTTTGTACATAAATCGTATTTTGTTTTCTAAAGGATTTATCAAACTTTACTCCACTCAAGCAATTGTCTTTGTTGTCGTCCGTAGTTATCATTTGCAAATCAATAAATATTACAAGAGTTTCTTGCCCATTTCCTAATCTAAAGATATATCAAGACCTTGTATGTATTGCTCCAACTATTCATAGAATATATATATATATATATATATTTGTGCAAACAAATTTTGTTGTTTAATAACCAACCTTTTGTTTGCACTGTCTACTTCTACTATTTTATTCTTTGTTACTGTAGGTAAAGGAAGCGTTAGTGATATCTGAAATGTATGTAATTGTATTCATTCATTACATGTATGACTTTGAACAGATTTTCTTTATGTAGAAATAATAACAAAAAACTATTGTTTGTTTGTTTTTTCTTTATCACTGGATATATATTAATAGTAGTCTTATTTGAATAATAAACGTTCAAATCCATATTTTATTAAGGTGCTTGCTGTATACAATAATAGTATGATATGTAAAAGTGTGACCAGTAATGAGTTATTTAATGTTTACTATTATTTAAAATTATATTAGTTGGTTCGTTGAATGTTTGTTGACATTTGTAACTTGTCTGTTGTTATCCTTGCACAAATACCATTTTTCATTTAAATTAAATAAATTTTTTTCTTTTTCTGACTTATCGTTTTTTTCTCTCTTTTGAATAAAAATTTTTGTGTAAAACTTTAGGTAAAATATTGACAATACTTTTTTTTAAAACGTTCTCTATTCAAATGGCAGTTTATATTTTGCCATAAAAAAGTGTAAATTCTCTTTCTCTTTTATTTAAAGTCTGAAAAGTGTTTTAGTCGTTCCTAGATTTAATTCATTTTTTAATAAAGTTTTTTTTTTTTTAAAAAAAATTGGCAATTCGACTGGTTTTTCACTTCATTTTCATGAGAAGGAATCCATTCATCATGTTTGTATGTGATTATTCAGTTCTCATATGTTTTTTTTGAATAATGTGATAATTCTATATTACCTGAGTTCTTATTATTTTTACTGTATTAAATTATTGTTCATTCGATTTTTTAAATATTAAATTTACAATTTATATTGCAAACGCGTTTATTTAGTAAAGCGGGTAAGTAGATTCTGTATTTCTTGATAAAAACGTTTCTTTTGTTGGTGATTATATGAGTTGACAACGATACATATCTTATCTGTTTAAAGATTGTGTTTCAAATCTATAACGTAGCAGAAAATGAGTTGCTGCATAGCGTATATTTTATGTCATAAACATAGTGGCATCTTGTCTTGGATAGAAGAGGCGGAAGATTAGCAAGCATCAAAGAAGATTTCTCTTCATGTGTATAGATTTCGTTATTCATACATGCACCAGGACTAATAAGTATGTTAACATAAGTGAAGTGAAACAGACACATTTTATAACAAAATCATACCTTTAGAGATGGATGGGGAGTCGGTGATAAATATACAGGACGTTCTTGAAAGCAGGTGGTAAAACACACGAACAGACTAAATTAATATATTTGTAATATTCCAATGAGTAGAAAAATTAGATTTTCTGACGTTTCGTGACTCAATGTAAGCCACTTCTTCAAAGAATAAATAAAAGAAAAATCTTTTTTTTTCTACTCATTGGGATATTACAAATACATTAATTTATTTATAACAATCTACCTAATGCTCAATTTAATCAAAATTACACGAACAAACTGTTTTATGTAAAAATACAATTCATTGATCCAAAACTACGATTTAATTTAGCCACACATATAGAATAAACCATAAAGCCTGGTTGATATCACACAGTGTAACAGTTTAAACATGTAAATCTCACTTCAAAGTGAAAGAAACAGACCGACAAATCATTAAGCATTTCATTGTTTGTAGATGACTGAAGTCGATAGTGTGGTCTCATTTGTGCCCATCTAACTTATGTTAAACTGACTGACATGTACCTAGTGTTATGATGATTTGTGTAATTTGATTGATTTCAGGACAAAGATGAATCGGGGGTAGTATAAGTAAGAGTGTAGTGAACCAAGGTCGAATAAGTAGATTGATGACTAATGCACAACGATACTTCAATGATGACGACGGTAGATGAATAAGAGAGGATTCGGAACTTTGCAAGAGCTTTCATATCTCAGGTTGAGACATTTAAACGAGTAAGGTCACATCACCAACAGCATGTCTGATATTATGGATAAGAATGATGATTGAGATCCAGACGTTAAATGATTAGAGTGACATACAAAATTCATACTCCCTGGTCAATTACGACAGCCGATCATATTACTTTACTAGACGTAATGTCATGTTTTTGGTCCTGTTTTTGATCGCACTTTAATCGGTGGTTTCGGTCAATAATTTGGTCTAGTGATCAGCCATCAACTCGATCACATTGAAAGCGAGAATTAAATGCCTTGCACATACGGAGATGAACAGACACAAAAAAGAAAGTGCTATATTTACTGATCAAGAGTCGGTAATTCGTCTTAACATTTTTGATTGGAACAAATAAGCCTCCAGAGGTAACGAGAAGGACGTAATTAAAAGTAATGCAGTGGAAAAAAAACAAAATATAAAAAACATCAACATAACTCACAGGCCAAGAAATGTAATTGGCATTGATGTAGTCAGAACCTGGTTCTTCAGGATTACCATCAAGTAGTTTAATTTGAGACCAATCAAATGGAAGGATATGTTTATATCGGTAGACGAATAAGAGAGAATTCGAAACTTTCCAAAAGAGATTTTATGTTTCGCGAGGCTACGATTTATAATTGATTCTTGATTAGTTTCTCTTAAATCCCAAAGTCACTTGATTATCGGGTTGATACTGCTATGGTCTATTGTGCAAAATGATTAGTCACCTAGCTAAAGGTCATTAAGACATATCCACTTTCAGTGTTACTTTCATTATCTATTACATGAGATTTAAATATAACTATTCAGTAATGTCTTTCTACGCTGCTGTTTTTTTTCTGTTCGGTTAATCAAGATACAAAAACTTACATAACTTAGATAGATTGCAAACCATGTCAGCTGACAACATACTAAAATACTAACGATTCTGTTCCAAGTATTTATGTAGAATGAAAGCAGTGTCCATACATATTATGGTAATAGATCTCAAGTACTTTTTTGTTTCATATCCAAATAAGTATTTAGAAAGTGACATAGGACATTAATCGTATTTTGCTATTGATAACATCCGTTAACCATCTCTCGGAAAATCTGCTCTTCCCTGGACTGTGAAGCAAATATATTAAAAAAAGTAAAACAAAACGGAAAATAAAGTTTTAAAGCGCCAATGTTGTACATATAGATAAATAAATATGTTTTTATTGTAAACGAAGGATGGGGGATGTTTCCAAGCCTATTAGTAACCAAATATGTGCATATTTCGAAATTAAAACCCTCTTCATCAAATAGTGAACTCAGAACAGAAACAAATGTTTTTTTCCAAGTTCTGGGACAATTTCTTGTCAAACTCGTGCTAGAAACATATTTGTTAACGAAGGAATTTTACTTCAAAAAAACTTTGGATAGCAACATGTACAGGTTTTTGACAATATCAATTAATCGCCCTCCCAGTATATAGAGTTTTGCTAAAGGATCGACACACTAGTGTAATCATGAAAGTAAGGGTCGTCCACGCGTAATGGTCGGTTGTAGGACATAACGCTTTCATGTTGGACATTTTTATTAATTAGAAACAGACATTGGTGTTTTCTTCAAACCCTAATCTTTCACATAATGCTTATACTCTTACTACTTCTACCGCTATGAGATTTGAATCGACAGCTGCATTTCTGTGCTAATGCGGTATGGCAACTCGAACTGATGTACGTACGTACGAAGTTTTACGTTGTGACTGATTATTGGTGTTTTGATTATAGTCATAATTTTATGGTGTTAGTCGATGAGGTATAAATATCTCTATTTCAAACTTTTATTGGTACTATTAAAGTATTACAAGTCTTCATCTAATATACCAGTGGTATTTATGGTAGGATTAAACTATACTGCCGACCTTTGAAAGAATCTTGACCTTGAGAAATATTAGCCACTCAGAAGACAGTTAGTATACAGTAAAAATATATTATACAAAACCAAAGAATTAAAGTGGAAACACTTCTTTTACTTGGCTCGAAAACTTCTCAAGGTCAGATATAGGTTCAGAAGTTCTAAAGTCATAGTGCATATGGTACAGGAACTCATTCATATGGCGAGCCACATGACTACTATGGATCTATAGTAGTCGACCTCTGAAACCATGATAAGGTCTCAAAAATTCTTTTAGCCTCGACCACATAGCTTCAATAATGTTAGTATATTGGTATGGTTTACGGGTTAGGGTTAGAGTTGAGGTTTAGGTGTAGGGTTTAGGGTTATGGGTGAGACTATAAGTTATGGACAACCTTTGAGCGACGCTAGAAAGACTGAGAGTGTCAACATAATAACTAAGATCGAATGAGGGTTATAAACCTGTGTGAAGAATTAAAATTATGATTTACAGTTCATGATTAAGGCTAGGAATTATACTTAGGGTTTTCATCACGAACTGACATCAGCTATAATGCCAAAACTCTATTTATTCAAATGGATAATTGAATTTCGCGCCAAAATCTTATGATCACTTCTACTGTAGACGCTAAATTATCACGTCTTCCCTAAAATCCGCTGTAAACCGACCGTACGTAAGCATCAGGTACCGAACTTAGCGCCGTGACCTTGAAAACCCGCGAAAGCTTCTGATTGGCCCGGCAGTATAGTTTAATCCTACCGTATTTATCATCAGTGAAAAATAAGTCATCCACCCTTGTTTCCTGATATTACATTGAATATAGTAAAAGGGCAAAGAACTCTAATAAAAATTATTATGTTTTTCAAACCCTAATATTGTTTGATTTAAATTGAATATTTATTAAAATAATATCAATTGCATTCGCAAGATTAACTTACATTTGTATTGAACGGAATGTTTCGACTTGATAATATACAAGGATAGTTGAACTCTGCAAATTTTTGAACAAATTGATTGTAAGATGAAAAGAATGATAAGTTTCATTATGATTATGTCGAATTATATGTGTTTGTTTTTTTACTGTAAAACCCATCAAAAACTACAAATTAGGACGGAATTCTACTGAAGCTTGATTCTTCTACATTTTTTCCAGGTAACTGAATACATTTACGTGAAGTTACTTGTAAGCTATGTTGGCGATGTATGCTAAGTATTCCGTTGGAAAAACCTAAAGGTTGTGGGTTTGGTCCTTCTTGAGGTCATAGTTCCATACCATTAAAAAGGCCCATACTAGGAAGAAGTAACTGCGCAGTACTAGCTTGTTTTCAATGATTTTCTAGCCAAAGGTGTACAGTCAACATTTTGAAGTCAGTTTCTGATCCTGTTGTCTAAAGTTAATATTCTATACGGAAGTGACTGCAAAATATAACGACTTTATGAAACATCATATATGTTGGTTTCTGCACAAATATCATATTCAATATCAGTTTTAAGCTGTTTATTTTTTCAATTACTGATATGGTACAAACTTAATTTTTGTCGTCAATAGGTAGATATAACTTATCGAAGTGAGTATTATTAATGAAAATATAAATTCATTGTAACAAGAGTGCTACAATAACTAATGTCTTTAAAAAATGACCCAACATTTAAAATCATAAGTAATATATTATTGTGGCATAAAAACCATCCAATCTCACAGATGGGTTGTTATACCAGTCTTGACATTATTAAACTCCAAATTAACGATTGTTTTGAAGAATACCAGCATTTTCAACCTTTTCCAACTTTGAATATGAAAAATATTGAGGAAACAGGTACGTTTATCTAGAAACAAACTCGTAAAATATTAATTGGGAATCGCGAAGTATATATATATATATATATATATATATATATATATATATATATATATATTCATCTGTTTACCTTTGGCTTTATTCGAGATATTCGTAGAGTGAAGTAAACCGACACTGTAGATTTTGGTATGGGTGAACGCCTAGATGGTATACTCAATTTCACTCGATATTTATGAAGCGTTTCATTCTTTAGTTCTACGATTGGCAAAATGTCAATACAGTAAAGCCATTTATCACTTATTTCCCAACTCTGAAAGTACAAACACAAATAAATTTTTTAGAAAGTTGCAATTTTTAAATCGTTCAGGCTTAGTTGTAACAAAATAGACAGGTGTTCGAGGGACATTTTGCCCGTCTAAGACATCGATCTTATAAACGGTGTTCATTAAATAGAGATAGTGCTAACATAATCCTAGTTTGTTCCATAACTGAAACTATCAGCTTATAACTACCATGGTACTTCGCACTTTGTCAAATGGAACCAGGCAATCGTGGTAGAAATTCAGCTTCAGTTACAATATATTTCCTACATTAAGTTATCCAGTCATTATGGAGTACTTCAATCCAAACGCAAATGTATAAGACAATATAAAACTTTCTATTATACCCTTTATCAAGTTTGAATTCGAATAATAAACATGAATGCATAATATTATTTGGTTTTATCTTTGCAGTAGTTCTAATAATTGGTTCGCATTAACTAACGTAATAACACTCTTGATTACATATATGACTTTTACAGATAACGAAATCATATGTATGTCCTTTGTTTTGAAATGCTTCAATGAAGACAATATATAGTCAGAATGAACATATAGTTATTGGTTATGTCGATTTAAACTCTTTATTTCAGTCTTGAAAATTAACAAAAATAGTATATAAGCCATTGCAATAAGAATGATATTCCTGATATTCGAAGCAGTCAGTACGTTTAAATATTGTACATAAACGCGAAATCAAATCTATGATAATCTAAACTAACATAATCATGGAAATTATGCGTAAAAATTAGTGTATAAACGATTGTATTTTGGTCTAATGACGAAGTGATTTTGAAAGTTATTTGGGGACATGTTATTGGAAGGTCAAAGAATCTTCATTGATGTCAGACTAACTTGTTCTCTTTTTCCGTCGTGGGAATTGCAGTAGTACCCGTTTTTAAGTGTAAGCAATAGGATTGAGGAATAACAATGGTTCTGATTGTTATATTTCATCAGTAAAAATGCCGACCTGATAGAATCGATAATTATATAACAGCAATGGCAAACTAGATGTAGCAAAAACGTCCCACAGATATAACCGTTGTTATTCAGATTTAAAATCATCACCTTATCTTTGATTTCTAACAAACATATTACTTAATCATTACCTTTATATATTTTTCAATTTTTTCGAGTCCTAATTTTGGTGTAAATTCTTCAATAGTAGGCCATTGTATATTAGGTAATGGTAAAGGATTGTCTGATAAAATAATTTCATCAAGGATTTCATATGAACTTTCATTGGGATATAATTTTTCCAAATCATAATAATTATAATCAGTTGGGTTGATTTGATACGAACTTTCAGAATTCCCAGGTTTGATACTGTATTATTAAAAAGATGATAAAATACATTAAATGGTATTATAAATAATTGTGATTTAAGAAAAACCTTTGGTTTTCTATTTTTCGATCCATGAAATGAAACATACCGCTTTTATTTCTTGGGTGATTCAATTTTAAAATGAAGTGAACATTTGCCTTGGGCCCCCAAATGCCCTGGTACGGCCGAGAGTGGGGAGAGTCCGCTCTCCCTCTCGAAATGCCCTCACACGGTCACACGTATATAGCCTCTTCCAGGGAAGTCCTACTCACTGCATTCTCGTGGCGGGAATGTTGTTCACGAAATTGAGAGGACGAAAAGCGAATGTCCGGCGCTCTAACCGGGTTGATGGGTATGGAGAGTCCACCTAGGAGAGTTGGAAAACCCTGATTCCAAACCAATGGTGCAAATGGGCACCAGTGTCCTGAAGGAATAAATGGCGTATGAACCCATTGTTGGTCATCGGCTACCATGAGACTGCATCTCCTCACGATGTTTCACTGCCTTGTTGATTAGACATTTAGGTCAACAACTCCGGGTGTGGCCCCCTAATAAAAGCGCCTGCCTCAGTTTGAGCACCCGAGCAGTATCCCAGCCCTCACACAATTCAAATGAAATTTGTGCGGCGCATATTTATCTGGTGCCTCTTTGTACCAATATTAATGTGTTTAAATGAATAATTAAGAATCTAATAATATTTATCATGTTTTAGTCAATTAAAAGTCTAACACTAACGATCACATTCAAACTCAAATTGTAAGGAATGATCTTTTGGATGTTTTTATGCTCATCACAAGTGTAAATAACTATTTCATCTATTGAATATAGTGTAGGCATAAACTTTGTACGTTAATTGATGTTCTTAACCACATATTTAAATTTTGTATCTAACACTTTGAGTGATAACTTTATGATAATTATCGCTTGTTCACTAATTTTTTGTAAGACTTTCGGTTTCCATTTTTGAATTAAATGTTAGGAAAGATAATTCTTTCTTGGTGTACGAATCCATCCTAGCTCATTTTTGAAGCATCCTGTTATAGATTAAGAGCATTTGAAGAACTATGTACTTTCATTTTACCTGTCCTTAACAGGGTTAAATTTCACAAAAAAGAGGGGTAATTTGACTAAGAAAATTCTTTCTGCGACGACATCACTTAATAAAGGTAAGAAGTAGTATATATGGTTATATAATACTTTGAGAAATTCTTCACAGAGTTAGACGAATGAGGTCCAATGGGAGTACAAATCTAAACCATATCAAATTCAATCGTAAATTCTATATGTAAAACTTGTATATTCAGTCTATCTTTCTACCATGCACTTAATTTGCTGCTAATTTTTAATCCTTGATACACAGTGGTTGTCATCACTTTCGAGTATTTCTTTTCTTCTGCTTAACCTCTTTTTTTCATGTTTAACAAGTATATAGATACCGCTCATGATTCTCATTTTTTTCAGATATTTTCAATGTACTAATTTTTATTATACAACTTTAATTTGATACTTCAAACGATTAACCTCCAAAAATTTATATTTGTCGTAATTGGATAAGTTTAAAGTGACTATATCCCTTATGTTTATCTTACATTTTTTATAAATCCTACTCCAACATTTAGTTTTCTACATTTGAATACACAAATCCTTTCCAATGGATAAATACTTTATTTATAATTAAGGTATTGCCTAATGCATATAAAGTTTTATTGAGACAGATCAATAATTTATACATATAACTCCACGTAGAATGAATCTGAAAAGTTTGTAATATTGTATTAATTCGATCAAAAAAACGGTAATATACAGATTCATCAGTTTACATGTATTATACATGTGAATTTGGTACAGTAGTTGTGATCAATTTCATGGAAACTAAGTAAAATATTCTACTAGCTTGTTCAGGATTAAGTACTCTAGTTAATTAAATGAATATTAACCAACTTTATGAATAATTAGGTGACTATAAATTAACGTAGTTTTTCTCTCTTTTTCTTTCTATCATATCAGGGCAGCTCATAAAACATACAAGGAGGGTTAGAAATCTGAGATACCCGTAGCATACTGATTTTTACGTCAAACCATCGACTGTTGGAACCTAGTTCTATATGAAGTGGTGTCCGTACCTTCAGTGGACTCGTTCTTGAGAAAACTAGACACTTATAAAGGCTCATTAATAAAGAACTTAAAACGACAGTCATATTTCTGTCCTCAGTATAAAAATCTAAATAATGTTATCTATTTGTTCCATATTTCATCAAACTATTGAAAAAGAGAGTATATTCAAAGGACAAAATATTTTAATAGAAAATCTGGATTACTTACTCTAGTTTATTAAGTAGTAGATCTTTTTCATAGACACGATATAATGATGACTGTATTATTGATGTTATTAGATTACGTATCACTTGTGGAGATTCATCTGATTTCTCTTGACTAAAATGTTTGTAGGGATGATAAAAAGAATAATCGAAATCACATCTGCTTTTCAGATTTTAATAGAGATAAGTTTCTAAAAACTAAAATATATTGTAGCAATCATTGGAAACTCGGAATAGATGTTGACATCATTTAAGAAAGTTTTTCAAGGTACTCTTATCAGTATAAATTCAAAATATTGAATCTTTTTCGTTTATTTTTAAAATGTGATCGAAGTCAAATATTATTGTTTTATTATCACAAATGTTTTCCAAAAATGTTTTGTGGAATAACACTGATTTTCCTTAAAACTTTTATCGGAATCATGAACCGATCTAATAAAAAACATCATTGAAAGCCTGGAAGCACTAGACATCAATTCCGGCCTAGTATGGAACTCTTCAGAAGTGTGCATCCATAGCTGTCAAAGGCTTCCAGGTCTTCAATGGTGGTCCCAATTAGATCGGTTCATGACCCTGTTAGAAGTGGGGTAATTCAAGGTAGTGTCTTAGGTCCTTTGCTCTTTTTAGTTTTCATTAATGATATTCGCCAGTGTTTTAGTGTGGGTAAGTCCCTTTTGTTTGCAGACGATCTTAAGGTGGTGTACTCATTTTCTCCACATGAGCTGAGCAATATTCAAAATTGTATCAGCTCGGAGCTTAACAATGTAGCACAGTGGTGCTCGAAATGGCAACTGGAGCTTAATACAGCTAAATGTGGTTGGTTATGCTTCGGTGATACATCACTCAACCTCGATCTTACCATAAATGGTGAAATGTTATCTAGGTTACACTCAGCAGTAGATCTAGGACTTAGGTACTTCGACGACTTGTCGTTTACTGAACAGATAATGAAACAAACGTCCGAGTCTCAACGCCTTATAGGTTACATAACTCGAAACCTTCATAACAGCGAATCTCGTATATTAATGTACAAAGTCTGTGTTCAACCACTCCTCGAATACTGAGCGTTTCTGCTTAGTAGCGAGCGCATAAAGGATAAATTAAGACTGGAATCAGTACAGAGACGATTTACACTTCGTACTCTTGGAACTGATAGTGTCTTGACATATACTTCGAGGTGTAGTAAACTAGGGCTTGACCCTTTATGGAAGAGGAGACTCAAACTTAACCTTATCTTCTTTTTCAAAGTACTTAACAAACTCTCCTTCACATCCAGCCAGGCGATTCAATACGCTAAAGCATCACATTACGATATTCGTAACTCCTTGTCTTTAGCGAAACAAACATATTCTATATCTTCCCTCTATATGAATTACTTTGCCTGTAAGTTTTCTAGGCTCTGGAATAATTTACCTCAAACTATCCGTATGTTAAACTCTCTCACATTGTTTGTTCGCTCAATTAATGCCTTTTGCTCCTCTGAAAATATATTTAATGCTCTATCGCCTGCAAGTGAGATTATCGGAACTTTAAGTGTTTAACCTCTTACTTGCTATCATTGTTTTGTTGTTCCGTGCTCTTTGCTTTAATCTTACTTTCTCTAGTTGTAGATAATTATCAATAACTCGCTTTGGCACTAGAAATAACCTTACAGAACATCAGGCTATCCACTTAAGATAAAAATGACAAGTTCCCTGGTGTTGCATTGGCCTGCCATATATAAACTATTTATCAATTAGTAAACCAGCAAACATAAAACTTTCTTATATTTCATGTTTGCTCTCTACATTAAATGTTGATTTTTATAACAATCTGATCATGCCTGTAAACTGGTGTGAATTCTGTAAATATTATTTTCAGAATATATATTATTATTATTAATATTATTATTTCAATAAAACTCAACAGTCTTCTCAACCTCATACTAATATTTATCGTTTTCTCACTGGTGACTGAGAGAAAATGCTCGGAGTTCTAGTGAGACACCGTGACTAGTGGGGTTAATAGGTGTCAGTTGTGAAATAGTTACCCGCCGAAGATAGCGGAAGATGGCCACGCAGTATCGTGGAACAATTAAAGTTAGACATTAACACCTCTGAATACCGACTCAATGGTCTAGAGGCCAAGCATTCACGCGCGAGATCGAACTTTCTAGGTTCTATTCCTGCTTCCGTGGTCGTGGATGCTCACTGCTGAGGAGTCTTGTACTAGGGTGAAATGGGTTTTCAGTGTTTCTAAGTTTGGTGATCTAACATTAACCGGTTCACAGTTTCAATGAAACTCAACAATTTCCACAACCCTGCACTGAAAAAGCTTTAAATCATTAGTGAGGTACATGTCCCATTTCTACTTATCGCGTATCATTGGCACATAAAGGTAACCGCATTTTAAACTAAATATCGTTATTTGTTTAAAAGCTTCAATTTAAGTATTCGCCGCTATTTGTCTGAAAATAATTTACAGTAATTGGCATTATTTGACATTAAGATAGACTTGAAAATAATCTGAAATGACAATTCACATAAAAACAAACATACCCTATTCTGGTACCATGTTGTTGAGTATTTTCAAAATTTTCATGATTCACGTTAACTTTCGATGAATCAACATTCAACTTTTGTACACAGTCAATAGATCTCTGAATAATTGAATCCACTATTGATGATATCATTTCCATGTATCTACTTGAATTTTCATTGGGATTCTTCACTATTGGTTTTATGTGTGTATCCTAAATTGTAAAAAGTTTATTGTCTACAAGACTGTAGTCTTCGTAGAATCAAAAACACATTATCATTCATTTGGTATAAAGGTTTTAATTTTATTCAACCAGTGGATAACATACAAGGTATATATATACTGTAAAGTCAATCATGTGTCATCACTTGTCAGTCAACAAACATTCAACATTATAAGATGTATTTACCTACGAAAATAATAACAAAAGTAAAATAAACCATCTCTTAATTGATTAATTTATTTTTCAAAATAATATTACAATGTATTTGTTTTGCTATCTAGTTACAGGTCAATGCGAAGCATGATTGATAATACTCTTGTAATAAGTGACGTTTTAAACTAAATGTTTATGTAATCATAACAGTTAAAGTAACAATGCAATACAACCAACTGCTAGTTGACTGATTCGTTTTTTTTTATTTTTTCTCCCGCCATTTTTCATCTTCAGTTAGTTGATTCTTCTTTTTTGAAACCTGAAATATTGTAAGTATATTAATTACCCCATTTATAATTAATAATAATTCACATTTTATTAATATTATGAAGGGTTTTATAAAATGTAATGGGAAAAACTTAAACATGATCCATAAATTTTAAAAATATAGTTCTTTATTGAAGTCTATAAAAATAAGACTTGAAATAATTTTCGTTGAAGTTTGAACGAATAAGTTCATAATAGTTTGACACCGAGTCTATAGAAGGTAATTAGAAATAAATTGAAATAAGGTATTCGTCCATAAATTTGTAGCATATCCATTTTTCAACGTTCAATATCTATGTATTATCAAGGATTTTCAGACATTTTACGTTTACTTAGTGGGTTAGTCCTGTATTTAAGAGCATTATTTTCACTGAGAATTTTATTTTCAGCTCCAACTTTTACGGTATCTGTTGCCTTTATCCAACAAGATGGTGTGCGCTATAATGGAATGTTCATAGAGAACATACGTAGATCGCTTTATATGATCGAAATGTAGTGCTGAGTGAAAATTATGTTCTTATCTGCAGTACTCATACAATAAATAAATAGAAAAATATTATACACCTGAATTTTATGAAACATTGAAAAATTAATTAATAACCTCCTCATCTGCCTGGAGTACGTGACTGTGTTTAAGTAAAAAATAGATATTGTTGACAATAAAACGGAACCCTGAAACACTGATCATGTTTTATATGGCAGAAGTATCCCTAAGTAAAGTAGAGGTTTGAAGTTTAGACTACATTCTTTGCTCACTAATTAACCATTAGTAAATGATACATAACATGCAACAGTAAAGAAAGCATTTTTAAATATAAATATCACAACAGAGTGTATAAAACAAATATTCTAAGTGAATTAGTTCAGATAATCTTATAATCTCAAATGTAGTTAAAATTTATGTATTCATTATAGATCAATTTAATTCTTAGTATTTCTCAGATTTTAAAATATAGAATAAGTTGACTGTTATATCATACTAGAGATATCAAGTGAATACTTTCATCAGCAACCTGTACTCATGTCTATGGATGTTCTATTATACATTGCTTTGATAAATGTATTGTCTGACTTAGTAACTCAGTCTAACTTTACATTTTCTTGGTCGATACATATAACATATAATCGAATTGGCGGCCTGTTTAAACATCTAGGCTACCTGTTCCTGTCATCTAGATATTTCAACAAGTTATCTAATTTTCTTTGTTTTCATACATCACCATGGCTATTAATCGCACAACCTATTCGGGTGCGTTCCTGAAAAGTGTACAACCTTTCGCTGTAAAGGTTACGAAAGGGCCAATCAGAGATATTGTGGTTTCTGGCAATATGCAGCGAGATGAATGTACATTATTCAGATATCGATTGACTGGACTGCTAACTTCTAACTGGCGATCACTGAATATTTATCGTCAGGAAGGACGAAGAAGTAAGAAACGGAAACTTGTTGAAGTACTTTGTGCAGAGAATTCTATATTGTACCAAAAATATAATATTAAATAAAGCTAATAATAATAACTTGTTAAAAATAAACAGTGAATTGTGATTAACCTAAGGGGAACTATGTGAACTCCAATACTACAGGTCGCTGACCTTTTATTTTCACATTAATTTAATCAAACAATTATTCATACATGAAAAAAATTATTTAAGAAAATGTAATCTGGTGTACTATATTTACGAAAACCAACTGGGTGGTTATATATGTATGAACATACATACATTAAATACACATTCCAGTAAACATACTGATTTTTGATGATACAAAGTAAATTTTGATATATTAGTCATATATGTAAGTGTATTCATCCAATCATTTTCCCAATTTGCTCTATTATATGAACTTTTTGGATTCTTCAACCTTTTAATAATTTCTTTATTTTCTTGAGTTACTCGTTTGATTTCTTTTAGTCTTTGTTCTTCATTTAAGCTAAAATGATCCAATTAAGAAAGAAACAGTTAAATAATAAGATAGTAATTTGAACTGTTTGTATTAATGTAAGCAGATGTATATATTTGATTGGAATATTACACAAAATGTACTAACCTTTTTTCTAAATACTGATCATTTTCATTGCCTATGATACTATGTTTCTGAATTTCATGCATCCTTTTCAAAAGACGATTATTCTCTTCTGTTATTCTTTTCAAATTTTCTTTTTCAATCTAATCATTAACATTTGTTTAATTGTAAGTGAATTATTTATTTCAATTGAGGAAGTAATTTGATAATTATCAGAAGAGTTTTTGCGGATATTATAGTAATTTTAATAGTTGAGATCATGAATCAATGGAAGCTAGACCATCATGGAAAATCTAGAAGGACTGGACAGCCGTTTCGTTTTATTGTAGGACTCCTCAGCAGTGCGCATCCACGATCCCGCATCATGAGATTCGAACCCAGGACCTACCAGTTTTGCACGTGAGCGCTTAACCACTTGGCGGGATCGTGGATGCTTACTGCTGAGGAGCCCCACAATATGACGAAACGGCCATCCAGTGGTTCCAGGTTTTCCATGTTGGTCTAGCTTCCATTGATTCATGATCTCAACTATTAAAATTTGATAATTAATTTAATAATTTATTACTTATCTTTAATTACTTATCAAACTACTTACTCTGTCTTTTTTAGAATTTAAATTTATTATCTGAAATGTTCTTGGTGCAGTTGTATCCACTGTGGATTTCATTTTAGCTAACTAAACTCAAATCATATGGAAATAATCGATAACAATAAAAAGATCAACCATTTGATCAAAAAACAAACAAACAAACCGATATGTAACGACAATATGAACAACATTAGATGTAAGATAATAGAAAATGTTAAAAAATTTTCTTCTTCCGCTACCATAAATTGATCGTGAATGTAAGTTTTAAACGTTGTAAATGTAACATTTTATAATTGTTAATTTATTCAATTTAAAGTGAAACGATTTTATTATTTCTTATAGGTATCATTACCAAGTTTTAATTTGATAAACTCTACCCATTGCTCATGTATAAAATGTTAACTTCATATAGCATATAATCCTCAAACCAAGTGTGAAACAAGAGATTTGTTAGTTTATTGTCAATAGTCTTATAAAAAATTTAGTGTTTCATACATATTTTGTATATTACTGTGTAAAACTAAGAAAAATTTATAAATAATATATTTGTAATATCCCAATGAGTAGTGGAAAAAATAGATTTTCTAACGTTTCGTGACTCAGTGTAAGTCACTTCTTCAGAGAATAAATAACCAAATTCACATTAATCCAAGTTTAAATAGTACAACGGAACAACACGAATATTAGATGGGATCAATCAAAAAACAGATCTGAATAAATCAATGTCATATCATTTCGGTCAAGGTGATTCATAAACGACAGTATGTACATTTGTGTGTATGTGTGCACTGTTAATGATGAAAAATGCGTTGCCTTTATAATGACAAAGGATAGAGTTTAATTTGTAATGTAATGGTGTGAATTGTAAGGACTTGAACTCTTCACGTTTATTATAATTTCTTATTATCCACAAATCTCCTTCATGGAAAAGAAAAAATCTCAGAGCTTGTATAAATATCACTGAACCATGTGATTAGAGTGAGCTAACCATTCGGAAGCAGAATTCATTGGTGACTGCAGAAGATAGTCTAGCTCTTCCGGGCAACCATCATTAAGACATTTTGGTTTCATTAGGCAATTGATGAAGTTAGCTGCACATCACGTAAAAATCGTCAAAGATACCTTAATTTATAGATAAAGCTTTTTATAATATAGGTGAACTGGTTTATCTTCTTAACAGTCTCAAATAGATAATTTCCCTTCCCCCAAAAACCAATTACTATCTTTTCCAATAAAAATAAAAGTCGAAAAAATAAGTTTTATTTTTGAACGGAAGCTGTTTCTTGGACCCATATAAATCATAGATGACATTTCCAAGAATGGAAGAGATATTCGGATCACATAACTGTTTATTATCTTCGAAAATGTAGTAAGAGGGAAGCATAGTATATATTTATAAATCCCCTACATAATGCATCTAAGTATTTGTCTATTCTCAGTGGTAATCAAACGTTTGGCTTCCACTATTATCCGAAGATTTCACAAAAGTCATGAACACCTGACTTCCAAATCAAATGCCAGAGCTTTGTCAAAGTCATTTCAGGCCTACGTTCATTTTGTCTCCTGAAACAAAATGCATTGTACTCTTGAATTACCTGTCGAACGTAATAATTGTCGTAAACGATCGTAGAAATTACGAAGGATTACCAAATCACCCCTTTACTTGAACATTCTGAAGTCACCGACGTTCTAGCAACATCTCTGCTGGACGTACGTGATATCTCAAAATTCTTCGATCAATGTAAATTGGTAGTTAAGCATAACTGCAGTTCGAGAATTACATGAAGTGATCATAAACCCTCACATCTGTTGATTTGTTAAAAACGAATGAAATCTAAGTCGGTGGTCACTTACATTTTGAATGAATATTAACTATTCTTGTTTTGTGTTAAGTATTTTGTTGTATAAAACGACTCATATTTTGCTGATCATTCATTATCATTTGACATCCATTCATCGTGAGCCATTGAATCAATAATTTAGATTCGCTATTAGCCATCGACTAAAGCAATAAACCACACAAATCACAACTCATATAAATATTCCTCCGTTATAATAATGAAACATTTATTCAGCTACTCTGTTAACTCGATAACTATGAATAATTTCAATAAATTAACATTTACTAAAAAAACTTACCGCCTTTAAATGGGCATCCTGGTATCTTTTATCAAATTTATATTGGAGGGGTTTATTTTGACAAGGTTTCACTGAATAATGTAGGTTATACATAGTCGTATGTCCAGCAGCAGTGAAAGAAACAGACTACACTGAGTGGAAGACCTAATAAATCACATATGAGAAAGTTATGAAATATAGGAAATAACCAACAATATTAGTTTACCCATTATTTTTGACAATATATACGCTAGTAAAGGGGAAATCAAAACAGATTTTGTATTGTTCAATGATCTCATCATTTAATGAATTATTTCTGGAACTAATTTAGTATACCATGAGAAATTTTATAATACATATTAGATTATAAAATAACTAGTCAATAATTTAATTAGAAATGTAAAAATGACATTAATTGAATTCGGTGGTATGTAGAGCGTTTAAAGAAAAGCATAAAATAAGTTTTCAAATTAATGATGTCAATCAAATGTTTGTTTGTTTTTTATATTTAAAAACTGAAGTCAGAAATGATACTTGTCTACGCAAAATACTCAAGATTCACTGGTCGGATACCATCAGTAACAGCTTTCTGTGGTAGAGGACAAACCATCTTCCAGCTGAAGAGGAAATTAGGAAAAGACGTTGAAAGTGGATCGATATACATTAAGGAAATAACCAAACTACATCACGAGGCAAGCCCTAACTTGGAATCCGGAGGGGAAGCAGAAAAGAGGAAGGCCAAAAAACACATTACGCCAGGATAGAAGCAGACATGAAAATGATGAATAACAACTCGTTGGATGGAGAATGCTGGCGGGCGGCCTATGCTCCTCCAGGAGGGGTAACAGGCGTAAATAAAAAACTGATACTACTGGTCTTAATATTTAATAGAAAAATCTACTTTTCATCTTTATATATCTTTGATGTTCAAGCATATAATAATACAAGTTTCTTGAAATATTTATATACAAACATTCTAAATACAAAAAAAATACTTTCAATAAATTCTAACAACAACAACAAATACAATAGAAATTTCTGGAGAATCTAATTGTTCAGATTCTCATGTTTTACCAGAAAATATGTCACATGTATCAAATGATATTCAAGAACCTAGTGCAGTTTCGATGGACGCTGATTATCATAGTGACTCACTATTTACTAGTGGTTTTTCCAATGAATGTGTTGACAAAATTTTAGAAGAACCAAACTCTGACCTCAGGTTAAATGTCGATCCTCACCATCCAGTCAGTTCTACCAGATTCTCTATTGAATGCAGGTAAAATGTTATAAACAGAATCACGTTAAACGTAACTTGAGAAAATGAGGATCCATATATTAAACAGGACACGCACGCACTCACTCGATATAACACTCATTTTAATTAGTAAATAATCACACTCTGATATAAATCTTAATAGATTCCAGCTAAAATCTTAATTAAATAAACAAAATTTTATGTTTTTTATTTAAAATGAAGGAAATTAATTTTTCTTATTAATTCATTCAGTTTCCTAACTGAGGTTAAAATGAAATTTTAAATGTAATGAATTACATTCAAAGGAAAAATGAAGGAATTTTTATTTCAATCTACTTGTAAGGAGTTTGTCCATTACAATGCTATTTTCCTCTTGTTTACTGATAGTTATTATCAGAAGGGGGGTTTGTGGAGATTTTTAGTTATTTGATACAGTTGGGACCATGAATCAATTGAAGCCACATCACCATGGAAAACCTGGAGACACTGGACGGCCCTTTCGTCCTATTGTGAGACTCTATAGCAGAGCGCATCCACGATCCCGCCTCACAAGATTCGAACCCAGGACCTATCAGTCTCGCGCGCGAGTACCTTATCTCCAAACCACTGATCCGGCATCCAACGGTGTTAACGTCTAACTGCGTCTCAGAGTTGATGTTCACTCTGGGACTCGAACCGGTACCTTTCGCTTCAAACGCCATCGCGTTATCCACTCGGCCACTGAGTCCTGATAGCCACTTGCTGAATGAACATCAACTCTGAGATGCAGGTACATCCAGCTGACGATTCCCAAATAGAATGAAACGCGCGTCTTGAATTCCACTGCTGGCCACTATCCATCTTTGCTTACAATGCTTGTGAATTAAGGCTATATCGAGGCAATACGCACAGTATGTACATTTGCCAATAAGAGACTGATCAGTTGAGGTCCTAAACATCAGTGGAAAGATTCAAACAGACAATACTAAATGAAGTCAAGATAGATATAATTTCACATTATAAAGGTATGGTGCTATTTTAGAATTCATGCCAGATGTCATAATGCAAGTTTATCACTAACGAATAACACATATGGGCTACATAACTAAAGTAATTGTTCTTAAAATAGTGGCCTATTTTGTGATGTCACCCTTTTGACAGGTACAAAGAGAGAATAATAACCGTAAAATATGAACAAAGATCACTAAGAGATGAATAAACAAGTTTGTATCTAATCTTGGATTCTATAAAATTGACACAAAATCGTTCTTAGATTAGTTTTAACAAATATTCAGCAATCATTTAAATAAAATTAACAATTATCTTGGTCAAAAAACCTAAAATTTCATGAATAAATTATATACTCAGTCGGATATTTTCAAAACTCATAGAATTCTGTTTTCCAGCCTACCTAAGAAACTATTCAATCCAGTCCACTACAAACATCAATACTCTTCATAGTATATGATAAAGTCACCCCTTGCAATAACGTGAAGCAGACTGAAAAATAATTGCGAGTCACCAAGTCAAAAACACCGATTATATCATCAAGAGCAATAGGAATTCTTGAATAGTTTTATAGTTATATGGAACATTCTGATTAAATTGTAACTATATAATTCGTTAATATCCGTAAGCAAATTTTTTCATCCCACAATGTAGTACTAACGTTGTCATATAAAACGCCTGAAAATTCTGAATTTAATTTTTAAAAAGCAACAGAACTTTTATAATACCATTTAATCCTATTTCAAAAAGGACACAAAATATAGTTTTCCTTTTAGAAATGACTTGATAAAATGCGTTCCCTGTGTTTAGTGTTTTATTCGTCTGTAAAAGGCATATTTCTTTTATAACCCTAAGGCTGAAGTTTAAGTAGTGCTTTTAGTAGTTCAGACACACTGTGTGTTCAGATGTTTTAATTTAGTTTATCCTACGAACATAAAATGTTTGCCTCTGGATAACCTGAAAGGCAAGTTATGAGAGGAACAGTGTTTTGATTGTCATATTTCTTCATTATCTCATTATCTTCATGATGTAATAAGAATATAAGGATAGGAGAGTTACTTTATCACTTATAAACGATTGTCACTTAATATGGAATTACAAGCGTGTCAAAAATTTAATATTGTGGTAATTTATCTGGACCTATAAGCCTGTAAATGATGTAATTGTTGCTCATTTCGATGCTCTTATGTTCATTACAAACAATATGAAGTTGATTTACCACATTTTTACAAATTTTCTGTTATTCCATATTATTTTTCGTCTCAGTTAAATACTATCTAGTATCTGATAAAATTCGAAAGCAACTGACAAAATCTGATTTTTAACGAGCATTTTAAAACAAATTATGAATCAGAAACATTTAAGCAATCATGAAAAACAAAATCTGCCTGAATGTAAAACGCTGAGTTATGTATATTGTGAGTTTTCAGGATACATGCATTTGTGACATATTTTAAAAACTTAATCCCAGTTGACTTTATTTGCAGATTTTAATTAAATGGTTGCTTTTTTATTATGTGTACAAAACTCACAGCGTTTATAAGATTGTTATATACCGTTTCTAAAACAAAGTCCAACTGTCTAAGGCAGCTGTTACAACTGCCTACAGCAAAAGACAGGCATACTTCTTTCTTATTGTTACGATGCTGCGTAAACGCTAAGAGTAACATATAAAATTCTGAGCGGTGAACATCGTTCTATCTTTTAAAGTCGAATCGATAATCAAAAGAACTGAAATATTTGTAGCATGCTGAGGATTGATGGGAGTTAAGAACAGCGTTTGTATTGACTTGCAATAAAAAACTTTGAATCGCTTTTCAATGAAATATATTATTATCAGACGGACATATGACCTTTTGTGCTTCCAAACGTGCTAAGGGTTGAGTAGTTACCCCGCCATGTTCGTATTATGCAGTATGTAGCTTTAAATTATTATATAATGTATTGTATTTATCTTCAATAAAATAATTATCCTTCCCTTATTTCTGCCTCTTGAACCATTCAAATTTCCTAATAAATCCCATACTTTAGTAGTTTAAGGAGCAGGTATATTTTTGTCTTCATTGTCAATCATATATGAATCAAGATCATTTGGTGATGCATGAATACAGACAAACAGATGCACATAAAAAGTATAAAACCTGAGATCATGTTTATCAGCTCACCAAAAGTAAAAGAAAAGATACAAGCTCCGACCTGACTATGATAGCTATCATCAATCCCGATTAATTCTTTGTATGTCCCTAAACTCACCTAACCAGATGTGATTAATTTTATTTTTTGATAATATGGAAGTACTGAAAAGCATATATCGACGCTCACATAGGGCCGTGGTCTAATTTAGACGTTTTTTTATAAATAAAGAAACACATTCATCCAATTCTACAGAGATTTGGAACTTGTTGTGGGGACTAAATTGATACACCCCAAGTCTTATGTACTTTCGGGCTTAGGGATTTTTGAAACGTATTTTAATAACTCTCTCAGCGATTATCCCGAAATTTCATGCATATGCTGCATGCAAAGTGGCTAATCTCGACCAAAGCACTACTTTTGATCACTAAGTTACTGATGTAAAATTTCAAAGTTCATCGAAGAAGTATTATGAAATATGCACAGGATCTAGCCACAAACAAATCTGAATTAAAATATGGACTTTTATTTATTCTTAATTTGAAAATGAGCGACCTCCATCCAAGACACCTTGTAAAACGCCGTAGACATACCAATATACAGTGGAATAAACCTCTGTGATTAGTAGATATAACTCTTTTTTAGCCAATAATAAGTAAAAATAGGAATGAAAAACACAAAACATACTTTATGCTGTTGTTTTTCATATAAGCTAAGTGGTCGAATTACAAAAAATTCCTTATCTTTCTGGCCAACATCATACTCAAATTTCAATATAGACATAGGCAATACAAATTTAACCATGCAGAACATGTTAAATAAGAGGCAATAAAGAAAAAGCATTTGATGAATGCCTTTCAAAAGAGTAATCATCCACTTAACTTTACAAAAGATTGTTACCAATCAACAGGAGAGAAACCAAATGTGCCGATCAACAAGAGGATACTAAATACTATGGATACATGGGATACCATTTAAGGTTGTTGAGTCCTAAACGTTGCACACAAGCCAACAAGATTACTTCTGTTGAACTTAAGAATGCCAAAAGATGGAATTTCAAAAGGATAAATGCCAAACAATACCCAAAAATTAAATATCTCCAAACTCGATAAAAACTATACATGATAAACTGACCACCCTGTTCACCCATGTATACATGAACATCAACTAGATATCAAACATCACGATATGTAGTTCTTTACATTGATCTATGTTGAATATTGTGGCACACACATTCGACAGAGGAAACGTAATACTTAAACTTCAAATATACGAAGAAAATCCGAAAATTTTAAGAAGCTTGCCACTAGAGTCGATTATCAATCAATAAACATCGATAACAACTTATTTTATCTATTAAACAGAAAAATTCGAACAGCTATGAGGTTAAAACATGATCAAAAGAGATGATGATCACGTTAAAATTACGAACAATCACAGAACAAGGACGGTAACGACTAATCAAGGTCGAAAAATGCATAAACATTCGAATAACTCACTTCCGTTCGAATTTTTTTGATGATGATTTTATCAGGAGAGACAATCGAAGTCTCACGTTTAAACCACGAAGGTCAGGGAACAAACTTGCACCATAATCATCCACCTGGGCCACAAATTTTCTTCACTATGGCAAACGACTACTCCTTGGTATGAAGGCTGTAAATCGTGTTAAAACCAATACTGCCCTTTTAAATTATCTTTGTTCATAGTAAACGTCAAACAAATACACTGATAAATGATCGCCGAAATACAGGTGAGATACTGCAATACTACTGAAACAGATAACAGTTTTGGCGAGACTATAAATTATGGACGAACAAGTTAGATATAAAATTACATGTCTCGGATTTTCATGCAAAACTCATCCAAACATTTAGCTAAACCTTCGCTGTTATCAATTCGTGATGAAAACCATAAATCACGTTCCTAGCCCCTACCATCAGCCGTAAATCCTCATTATACATATTCGCACTGCTTTATAACATCCATATAACCCTAGTTATAAGGTGGACATTCTGAGGGTCACCTTCACACGAATTGTAGTCTCACCGTACTGATAAACATTCTATGAAATAGAAAACTATACGATTTTGCTTAAGGTCATGAAAGAAATTCACTACAACGTAATATCACCAGAGCCAACCGTTGAATGCATTTCCACAATAAAAAACCGAACGATTGAAACCTATAACAAAAATCCGACAGCCAAACATTTACAAAATACAGGTTTTGTTATTTACCAAAAAACAAATTTTCAAATTACAGAATTATTATATCAAAAGCAGTTTCAAATCAAATATTTCATACTTATCACCGCTTATTTTCGAACTCACAATCTGAAAAACCCTTGGGTATTTATATGTATAGTCTTAAGGACAGACTCGCCAACGAGAAAGTTTTGAGTCTGTGGTGTCGAAACAAAATACAATTTTGAACGCTTTCTGTCGGTTTTAAATAAAATATAAGTAATAGCTATATTCTCAAGTTATGCAAACTTATGTGATACAATTTTTTAAAAAGCCTTCGAAGGCTACTTAAAAAAATTGTATCACATAAGTTGTATCACATAAATTGTATCACATAAATCTGAGCGATATCGCTCAGATTTAGAAATATAAACCCATAACCTGAAATCGTTTATTGTAAATTGACGCTGATGAATGTATACCACAAAAACGTGTTCTTATTAGGGGCCGTATCATTTTGAACGTTTTCATACAGTCAGCACATTGTACTAAAAATCAGTAACCTGTGCTACGTGAAAGCAATTAACGCTTTGAATTTCCGCATTATCAGTTGCCATTAGTGATTAGTTAAAACAATGTCCAATAAACAATAAGCATCACAACATGCCAATATACGCTCAGCAAGGTTTTTCATTTCGATCACTCGACCACTCATTTTACAAAAAGATGTCGCTTCATTCTACGTACTTCATCACTCCAAACAAATACTCTGTGTACGGGTAAATGAAAATGAATATTAGGATACTTCCGATATTTTATCGAAAATGAGAGCAAGCCATAAGGTTGTAAGCGGTCGTTTAAGTTCCTCCTTCTAGAGATCATAAAAGTATCTGTGGTTGAATTTTTTGAGTGCATTGTGTAGAAGAAACATAAAGTTACCACAAGTATCCAGAGTTTGACAGCACTTTAAACAGTAACACCTTCTATTATGAACCCATTGAAATTAGAAGTCAGAAGCGAAGAGGTCTGAAAATTTACATCTCAGATTATCAATATATAGAGTAGTGAGTGATCCAAACTGGTTAGCTGTTGCAGGTGAAGTTAAAAACGGCGTTCCCGATCGTGATCTGATACGGATACACAACAGAGAGCCTTCAGCTGTGTGAGCTAAATAAAACTAGTATGGTCAGCACCAGATATAGAAGACCTTCAGATCTATTAATTTTGGGGATTTATGTGCCGCTAAGAACATATGGGATGAAAGCGTATTATCACTGATTAATTTTTATACCCTAATAATCACTCTATCTGTAATTTTACGTGGGCTCCAACCCTTTTCGGCAAGTCACTTAAAAAGTTTAAATAGCACTAGTCAGCGCCCATCAGACCCCTCTGTCTGCAATAGTCTATACACAAACTCAAAAAAAATCGCAAATCTATTCCAGACTTCCGTATTCAAAATTACCTGTGTTCAACTGAATAACAGGCAAAGTTTAAAAACTTGTATGCTCTTAGTTAATAATTTTACTTCTTTATGTACGGTATATATTGCCGAGTGAACAAGATTTATGATCTTGAAAAATTATGTCGTGTCATGAATATACAAAACTCCCAGTTTTTCTTTTTTTCGACATTTAAATTACAGGAATTTGTAATAATTTTAGAGCCCCATTTCATCACTGTTTGTAGTCAGAGTGGAATAGTTTCAATTTCGTGTCATTATTGATTCGCACCAGCTGAGTTCATAGCTGAAGTTATCAAGTGTTTTCTCAGCTATTAACTGGCAGTTGGCTAGGCTTTCTGATCAGTACTGTAACGTCCGACTATAATGCTAATATAATATCGTATATCTTTATTGTATTCACTAACTGGTTTTGTAAAGTCAATACATTACAGACTCACTAGTGATTAGTCTGTGTTTCAGTTTTAACAATCCCTCCATGTTCTCCGGACGGATGAGAACAAAGTTCATTCTCTTTCGCGAAATTGACCTGCCACCGAGCAATCAACTAAGATAAAAACGACGATTGTTTGTACACCATAGTAACCCACGATGGAGTGCATGTATCTTTTTCTGTCATTTTTATCGGCGTACATGAGAAAAGTAAATTTTTCCACCACCCATCATTCGACGAATGTGTGAAGCGAAGCGCTTTGTAATTACGGAAAAATATTACAATATAGTATAAAGCATACCTCTGATTAATCAGTAGATGTCTATCGTAGGCGATCTGCGTCGATGACTTGGAGCCTGCTAGATTTGAACAGTGATTACATAGCCTCCCGGTTTTAGACGCTATCACAACTCATGGTTAGTGTCTGACTTGAATAAGCTCTCCATTATGTCAAGTCACTGTGGTGACACATCGGCACCAGATCATGAGTGGTTACTCCGTACTACCCATCCCATGCAACTGCTAACCGGCTTATACCAATCGCTTCTACAAAATTTAATAGCCTTTCAAACATGTCTTCGAACCCCTTCATTACTGACTCCTGATTTGACTGGGTTGGTAAACTTCTGTTATAAAGGTGTCACGTGTAAAGGCGTTGTCAAACTCCGAACATCTGTAGCATCCTTATTGGGGAGCCCAACGTAACCTAGTACATCAAACATTCTTGTTGGAACATTATATTTTTTAATTTTACTTTACCTATTCTGACATCGTTTTCACACTTTTCGAATACCCGTGGTATCTGTAAGTTCACCTATTAAAACCAAACTAGTCTTGTATATATCTACTAAAAAAGAGTATTTATAAATGTAATAAGCTTATGTTTTCACATGTTCTTCTCTTTTTAGGATTTCAACATGTTAGCTACTTTACAGAGTCTATCGGATACCCCAAGTACCCTCAGATTTGGTGCTAAACTGCTATAGTACCTTCTGTTTCACACCAAGTATCAGGATCACCAAACATTGTTCTGATAGATAAGCCACTCAATCAACAACTAGCTGTGCTTGAAGGTGGCGTTGCAAGATGATGGATTATAGTTGTATGATATACAAAGATAAACAACCTGGCACTGTTGATTCTAGCCAAACACTATCAGTTGATATCGTTTTGTCTCGGGCTTCATTAAGATCAAACGTCGCGATTTCAGACAAGCTTTACCTAAATGACGTGGTTATGAGTAAAGAATATGAGTAATCTTTTTAACAACTTCGTACAAACATCGGTGCAAGGGCAATTTTTACTGTGACCTCGTCAAGGGCAGATTTGACCTTGTAAATATTCGTGTGGTAAGATGAGTTATGCTGTGCTCTTCGCAGAATTTTTGGTTACCTGAAAGGTAGTTTTGCTAATTGAGTGTTTACATAAACATGTCTTATTTTTCGTCATATTCAGTTTGCCCTATGTGTCTGTAGCAATATTGCGAAGTATATACCATATGGTACTTCGCACTATCAAACTATAGAGGGCTTGGATTCATCTAGTAAACATTTTGACTCATCAATCATCCCGATCAGTTGGAAATAGTTGCGGAGTGTAGTTTTGAGCACATATGCGACTATAGCGACATAGAGGTGGAAATCAGTTTACATTAATGCCGAATTTGGCAAAAAACGAAGCAGCTCTTATCAACCTGTGTTCACCCAGTCATCCTCAGTGACTGTAGCTTAGAAAAATCGACAAATGTGTACCACTACGAAGCAACTTTGTATGCTTATTTGCATAAAAATGCTAAGCAGCCAAAGATATCCTTCAAGTTTGTTCAAAATAATATTTCCTGGCCTATCAGTGTATGTGTATTATTGAGGACCCATCATTATCTAATGCCATCTAAATAAAAACCTTTTTTAACTTAGTCACTTCTGCAATAAACGGCGTTTACTGGTTCCGATGCTTCGTTCAAAAGAAAAAACTAATGTTTTTGATATCGCTCTTTAAATCGTATTAGAACTGCTATGTTGGTGTCTGTTGGCTTGTAGTGACCGTATAAATCATATGAAATGACTCAATTGAAATCAGTGATTACGGTTATGTAGCTTAGTATAGCTGTAGCGTGAATTATGTATACTTGCTTTTTGTCTTTATGTCAAGTTTAGCCTTTGATATTCCTGTACCTGTGTCCTGAGAAGCATTCACTTTCTGTCTTTCACAGCAATTTTTTCTCGTCTAGTGTTGGATCTCAGTGCTTCATAGTAACCAAATTGATTGTTTTTTAAGTAATCAATATGTGGTCCAACATTTTTTTCGTACAGGAACTTGTAGTGTGTGTAATACCGAAGTATATCCTACTTGATTAAAAGGTATTTAGTACAGCAATAGTAAATTACAGAACTTAGGGATATATTGACAGAACACTACAGTATGTATGCAGAGACTTTTTGACAATAAGCTCTTTTGATCTTGTACTCTTGTTCTTAATGTAACTAACTTTGAATCGAATAAAGTAATCGAACAAGCTTCCCAGTAGTCGACAGAAAGTAGGTAAATTGCAGTAAGTAACAATATGTCCTAAATTTTCAAGCGCTGTTTTTACTGACCTATGGTTATTTCATTGATGCTTTTCCATATAAAACAATATGAAGTTTTTATTTGATCAAATCAAATATTGACTCGGATTTCAGTTAAATTCCAAATATCGGGTTGTATATATATTGTCAAGTTTGACTGAATTCAAGTAAATGAAGAAAAATCCTACGAAAAAGCAACATCGGACATGTGTAAGAAAACCATCTCGCAAGATTACTATATCCGTAAGTCGTAATCGCTTTTTTTTACTCGTTAGCGTTCCAAATTACTCAAAAGTGATTTAGAACGTTATGGGAAAGTGGGTGGGGTTTTCGATAAACGTCTGGGTAATCGTAATGTCACCTTGACTGAGTCCGAAAAGTCTTTGCAAAGACACATCGTCGAAAAATTGGTACGTTCATTAAACATATTAACATAAATCATAGAGACAACTTGATAATGTCTCATTGGAAAGTGTTGATGATAGAGATCCTTTATTCAAAGCGGCATTTGACTCAAGTTTTCCAGCGCGAAAACTATGCACGGCTGATGATGTGGAAGGCGGGATTGAAGGTAAAACAAAGAATAAACCACTAAGTTTGTAGGTCATATTGTGGAAAACGTCTTCTTCACCGATGGTTCTACCGGTAATAAACCGGGACATAATTTCAAGGACTCTTTGGCAGAAAAAATTGCAGCTACAAAATTAGAAAAATTAAAACGTGTCGAAGAAAATGAAGAACAACGTGAGCGATTAAAAGTCGTCAATGACGAATGGACAAAAAACATTCGTTTTCTCTTAAGCAAAATCCATGGAGTGAAGAAAGTGAGTTATGTGATTAATAAACGTCATTTTCAGCGTCCAACTACAGGAACTCAGCAGAATAATAATACGAATGTTTCCCGTTTACTAGAAACATTGAGTACCAATAAAAAAGTGGTGCCTATCGGCTTCTCAAATCCCCACAGCCCACAAGAACAGCTCTTTAGGCTTCAGGATATGGTGAGCGCCCGCAAGCCTTCGTAAGTTCTTACTTTATAATTGTAACAATAAATCGTAACATTCTACCCGTCGATCATTATTTTGTACTAACTTGCAAGAACACTACCAGATAAAATAAGATAAAACACTATACATATATGTATTAACCCGATTTTTTGACATTTCACATCAACACAGAACAAGGAAGTCAACGTAACGAAGGATAAAAATTATTGACAATAACATAAGTTGTAGTGTATCGTCAAAATGTGATATTTTTACTTGTTTGTAATTGATGTCGTATCTAATCCGTATCATAAACTGAATCTCACCGATCACATTGTAGGGTTCACTAGTCTAGATGATTAGACATCACAGAACAGTATGTTTGATCCCAAATTATTGATGTTATGGATTCTTGAACATAAATTTTGTTCTAGTTGACAATCATCGTAATTTTTTAGTAGTCTTAAGTATGAAGTATTGTAGCCAGTGCTTAAAAATCAGGTAACTTCGATGAAAATCAATTCCAGTGATCTAGTTTATATAACGATTCCTTATCTTTCTCATCGTCCTGAACATTTCGCTATCACATATCCTATTTCAATCGACAGTTTAACCCCATTAGTTATTTATTTAAACATAAATATTGGTACAAATGGACACCAGTTACATATGCGCCACACAAATCAAATGAGATTTGTGTGAGGGCTGTGATACTGCCCAGGTGCCCAAACCGAAACAGGTGGTTTTTTTAGGGGGCCACATCCGGAGTCTTTGACCTAAAGGTCTGATCCACAAGGCAGTGGAGCATCGTAAGGAGATGCAGTCCCATGGTAACCGGTGACCAACGATTGATTCATACGTCATTTGTTCCTTCAGAATACTGGAGCCCATGTGCACCAATGATTTGGAATAAAGGTTTTCCAACTCCCCCAGGTAGACTATCCGTGTCCACAAACCCGGTTAAATCACCGGGCATTCGCTTTTCGTCCTCTCAATTTCGTAAACAACAGTATTGCCACGAGAAGGCAGTGAGTAGGACTTCCCTGGCCGAAGCTATATTCGCGTGGCCATGAGAGAGCATTTCGAGAGAGAGAGCGAACTCTTCCCAATCTCGGCCGTACCAGGGCATTTGGGGGCGTTTGCAAACATCCTTTACATTTAATTACATGAAGTTTGACCTCACACCGTGATTTCATTGATTGATGCTGTTTCGTGGTCAGACCAACATACTATCTCCATATTCCCTTCATAAATTAGGCTCCACGGTCACACAAGCATTCTGTAGTCCTTTTATCGGAGTCTGTACCACCACAGTTTCGAAGTAGTTAACCATCAGACATTCTTTATTCAGATTATGATATATCAGAATACAAGCGAATAATTGCTCATTCAAATCAATGATGAAACCAAATAGTTCAATGAAAACTACTAAAACCATCTAAGTTAAAACAGTAGTTGTGGTGGTTTGAGTATATGATAAAATTTAGAAATTCAGAAGAACTTAAGCTGTTGTTCAAATAGCACATATAAAGTGCGGAATATTGTGTTGCATAATATTTTTAAGTAAACCCATTCGGTCTACTTGTTTTCTATTGTCCCTCTCTTAGATGTCACCAACAATAATCTTCGAAATTCATCGGTCCTGTTGTCTTCCACATGGTAGGGTAGGTAATAGCACCTGCCATATACGGCTAAAAAGTGATCCGGAAGCTGCCCAGGCACTTTTGTGCAAACTCGTTTCATTATTTGAACTTTGATGCCTTATAGAATACCTACAAGCCTAAATGTTCGTAATTCTAAGGGATAAAACAATTATCAAATGAATTTGGCTTGATATGAATTTATCTTTTACTTAGAATTTCAGGTCCCTTTCTGTAATTAGTAATGTATTTAACATAATGCGCAAGCATTTCATATAAAGTCATTTCAAGTACCTAATATGTCCACAAGTAATTGTGTTCTTGATGTATTAATTATAGTCTCGCCGAATTTATTTTAATTCCTACTACATTTTGCAAGTAGCTTTAATTGTTACTAACAACGTTGGACAGTGTTTTGACTGTAGTTTGTCCACCGAATGGTAAGTCATATATATATATATATATATATATATATATATATATATAACTTTATAATTTTAATGATCAATTGTTTATGCTCATTCACTTCTTCCCTCTATTTTTTGTAAATTGATGCTTACAGAATTGAAGCGAACGACCACATCATTGAGTCAGAAACATTGGTAAGTGTATTGGATAAAAACTATGTGCATTTCAAGTTAAACATTTGAAGCTATCAAAGTTAAATTTACTCCTGACTTATTATTTCTTATATATATGACTTCTCTGATGAGGTTAACCGATTGCCCTCTGCCAAATATTTCTGGTTGCATTGTTTTAGGTTTCTCATCTTCGTATTTTACTCAGACTACCGAAAGAAAAGGTCACTGCTATTACTTTCATTTCTAACCAGCTTTGGACAGCTAGATTGCATCGTTTAAAAGACGTTGTTCGCTATCTTTTCTTAATACAGTTGGCATTTGAATATTGCTCTGAGATATTTGAACGTTTAGAAACTGATGGAAAATCATCTACAAATATTATTGAATGTGGTATTTTTTGTCCGGAAATTGTACATGCACTATCCCGATTGTTTTGTCTTACTTCACTTGGTTCGAATCTACCAAAACACATTTTAGTTTTAAGAAAACCATTGACTACTATCGAAGTGTAAGTATGTACTATATTAATGATGTATAATTATTTTACATTCAAACCATTATTAAAACAAGTTAATCCATATCAAATCTGTTTTGAGTATTGTGTAGCTTTTGGGGATCTCATGTGAACTATTTGCAAGCAAATTTCCATGTAATGCGTATCAATGCTTAATCTACATATTTATTCACTTCTCTTTATAAAAAAAGTTCAGAAATTAAATTTATCAAAACTGTAGTATAGTTAATTGATAATGGACTGTTAATTCAAGACAGCCCTTTTTTAAGCATAAACAACTACCTTGTTTATAAGAAACAGGTCAAGCCATCGAATAAAACATTCAAAAAATAGCTCATTCACATCTCCATATGCTAGCATAATTTATAAAATTGTCATCCGAAAAGGTAATTTCATATATCCTTAATATATTTCTGCTGGTTTTTGCATTAAATCAAAAGGCTTTTTTTCTTTCCAAACAACTACCAAGATGTCAGCAGACACTATATGTTAGCAATGCCTAAAGTGATTTAGGCGCATGTGGCGTACATAAGATCTTTTACACAATTGACATCTTCAACCATGGCCTCATCTGTTCCAGTACAGCTGTATAGTACTTTTATGAGGAGTCAATTAATGAAAATTATATATATATATATATATATATATATATATAATATTTTTACAAGTTTGAATAGAATCTTTATATATTCACAGAAACAACAGGTGGTTTATGGTTTTTTACTGAGTAATTGCGGCCGAAGTTGACTGTTTTAAGCACAAGTCAAATGCAGGAAATGTCAGATAGGATTGTGGGTAATTATTGATACATGTATCATATGTTATTGCGTTCGTACTGTCATTAACTTGTTTCCATTAAGATCGTTCACTCACTTTAAATAAAAATATCAGACCTTTCGAATAGTTTGTCTTCATAGTTAAGATACTTCTTTTTCCGTTTTAGATCCGATTTGCCGTGTCTCGACATTCGCCTTGTAAATAGATCTTCCCCTTTATCTCTCAATGAAATCCCTGTGCTTCGTTTAACTTGCGTTTACAGGATGATTCGTCTCGCTAACCAAGTTTTCCTACTGTATAATAAATTTCTACCGAAGTGCGTTCTAGTGAACTTGTTTCGTCCTTTGAAAACGTTTCTGGTAGAAAGTAACTTCCTTTGTCACCCCGCTTTTATAGTGAACGAAATCAAAAGTCTTTCCGAATCAATCAATTCAGCAGAGAATGCTCCTACACCTGCTCGATTAATATCAGATCATCGTCTTTTAGTTTTAAATACTTTGAAACCAACAGATTCCAAAGAATTTAAAAAGTTAGGCATTCTGCCTCAACTAGAACCTGTCTTCGAAGAACGGTAAATTTCAATTCATCTGTTTACACATATTTTTGGTGGATGACAATTCTGCTTTTTTTGTTTTGTAATTGTCCTGATTTTATGTCTACTTACAGGGACTTTTGTGTATCATAAAAATTATTTTCTGTTGCGAACATAGAACAATAATGCAATAATAAATCACGTTTTACCAGGTACTTTGTTACCCTTTTCGAGCACTGTTGGTCGGCTTATTATTTCAAAGTATTGTATTCAATATATTCGATCGCAGAGGTCACTTACCAAAGCTGACTCATATTCTAAATGTTCAAATTAGTCTATTAGAAAACAGGTAACAAATCATTCATCAGCCAGGTTCCAGACAGATATGTCGTTATCTAATATCAAGACTTACTCTAAGCTAGTTTCGCTGAAAGACTTTTTGAATTTCTAAATATATTGGCTTGTAAGTATGACGAAAATCTTTCATGATCAAACATATGTACTACAATTGATGTTCTGTTTAAGTTCTGGAACATTTAATTCTAAAATTTACTTTATATATGGTTTTAAAGCTACCAATTTTTTTAAATAAACGGTTACAAAATAGTTGTTGTGGTGTGTTCACTGGTACATCGGTATTTGAAATTTTCGGTAATGCAAAAGTATTGGTTCACAGCATAATTGTAATCAGTGACTAGTCTGATCTCTCTCTCTCTACAATAAATATATGCAATCCCTTTATGACAGTTGTTTGACCATATGATACAAGTTTACTGAAGTTTTAGATGGATTTGAGCGAAATTCCCTATGAATCCAAAGTGCAATAAAAGAGACTTCATGTTTAATTCACTTATAAATGCAGAACTGATCAACATAAACACTTGTTAATTTCCTCTTTTCCTACCCTTTGATGTTAGGTGTTACAACTTGAACTGATACACATGCTTTTCATGCCTTACATTGATGATGACTGACTGTAGTGTATTGAGAGTTCACATTGGTCAGTCATTAATAACAAACGCGCAAACCCCTTTGTAATTCTATAGTAACATGTTCTGTAATTATGATAAACTGCAAACATGAATATATAAAGTTTGTGAGTATCTCGCTTCAGAAGCACTCAATGTTATGTTTCTAATCATGATCAAATAATCTAAAACGAGTGTAAATGAAATTTGAAAGTAAGAAAATCTTTTGCGATTGAATTAATGATCAGTTTTTTATTCTTCCAGAAGCAAATAAGTCATCCAACAAATTCGAACTGTCACAAACAATCGAAATTACACACTTGCCAACATCAAGAGCATATCATACTATAGACGAGTAAATTGCTATGATTTCGAAGGACTAAAATGTTCAGGTAGCCATGTTAAAATTGTAGCTTAACGAATCATTTCTCGAGAATTCATCCAATCTATCTGTTTTATAAGTGGATCCTAAAAAGAATTGATGTCTAGAGGTCTAACAACGCATATAGTTTTGTCAGAGTTTAACAAAAGAATGATTTAAAGGAATTCAAATAATTTAAGTAAATTAATAACCATAATTTGTGCTTGGTAAGTAAATATAAAAATCAAACTAAACACTTTTTAAGCATTTATCAGATGGATAAGGTCGGAGATTGGATACATAAATGTTGAATTAATCGTTCATGATTTTCAAAGCACTCAAAAATGTACTTTACGATTGTTTCACACATAACATATGTCATACGCCAGAAACTAAAGCACCATAGATGTAGGTGACTTAAAACCTATTAAAAATATTCATATGTCCAACTTGTGACATTTTACTTAAGAACAGCGACAAAAAGCCCATGAAGAAAATATATAGAATTAAGAACAATAACTCAGAAATAACGAAACACTAAAGCCGAAAAGTAGTTTGCTTTACTCTATTAATGATATTGATCATTAATTGTAGCCTCCAATGGGTATTAATAGGTCGGTAAAAGTCAGTTACGATGCGCATTGTGTAAATAACCTTGTTGGTTCTTGTATTACCTTTCACCAGCTCTTATTATCATAACATTTTCATAAAGTATTTTATCAGTCAAAGCATGTTGGTAAAAGTTGGATATTTTTTTCGTTTTATTTCTTGTTCCAAAATATTTATTTTCAGATTATGTGTAAATCAGCGTGATAATACTAAACGGACTCTACAGCGAAAAGTTGCTAAGGAAAAACGTTCTGCGATGCGGGCTATTCGTCAAGATTGTCAATTTTTAGCTTCACATCAGTTGAATATTATTAAAAAGAGGTAATTCTTTTCATCATGATATTGTCTATCTCATCGAGTGTCGTCTTTCAAAGGGTGCATAATTTCATCAATCTGTTTTCGTGTTATTAATTTATATTGTTTTTGTTAGGTTGAATATTCCTTAACTTCACATCAATAGCTCTAAGCTAATACTAAGATTTCACAATTGTCAAAATCAATCAATATCCATCAAAGGATTTTGAGCTATTGTCCCTATTATCGTAATGTTGGTCGAATTTAGCCTTTTTTTCTCACATAAAAATACGGTGTCAGATTGTTCTCAGTGTACTGAGCTGAAATTGACGTATTAATGTTACATCATGTTGTTTCGATAGGCTTCATCTTCTCATTAAACCATCTAAAGCTCCCTAAAGCAATAACTGTCTTAAATTGTGACTTAGTTAACGAATGGTTGTTAAAAACCATCCTGTAGAAATGTGTGGATTTTCGTAGATGATATCGTCCAAGAATTCGGCCAGTTATTAAGTTCAATAGTTGTTACTAAGTTCAAGCAGGTTGTGATTATATCACCACTTGTATTGCACCTACTAAACATTTATGAGAGGTAAATAGAGCTTTTGATTTTTTTTAAACTAAGCAAATATTCAATGTGAAGTCAATATCTTATTCGTTGAAGTTAACTCCTTTTTATAATAATCCTGCTAATATATTTTCACTGTTTCAACTGAACTTTGGCTTAGTGATTGTTATAACGTGTGGCCGCCTGGATGCCCTGTTAGTGTACAACGTGATAATACTGTCAATTAGAGAGCAGTAAATTACCGATCGGACCAGTGACACACGAACCCATACAAGCAGTCTAGAGCACTTATTGGTCCTTCTTTCTGCTTAGCCCAGCCAGTTAAGTCCAGAACACCAATCTCAGCCTCTGCGGTATAGATTGTTTTATTTCAAACATACTGAGTTTATATACCAATCAAACAGGCCACATCGTACCATAAAGTAGAAAATGTCATGAATATGAATAGTTTAGTTATTTAGCAATTATACGACAAAAAATATATGCATAGTATTGGTCCATAAATAGTTCTCAAAAGTTGCCATTCTTTATTCTTATCGGAAAATAACAGTGATCTAATTGTCTAAAATATGAGAGCGATCTGTATCCGTTCAAAAAATTAATCCACGAGGTCTTCTTGTGTACAGAAGTCTCTGAGAGGCTGTAAAACTTACAACCACATGTATCGTGTCTTAGGTTGACTATGAAGTCAATAGTTTAAAAACAGTGTCATGTTTTCTACAGTATTATTGTCTTGCAGTCTGAAATTAGGGTAAAAAATATGTCCTACAAATAAAACTTATTTCGCAGAGTGCTTGTGTTTTCATACGATTTTAAAATTACTAACCCAGCTTACAAGATATAACACCTAACTTTCTATCTTTCTGTTGGTTCTGTTCTTCGGTTCCTCAACAATGCCTTTGTACCCTCACATTTCATTTTTATACTTGTCGGTTTACTGTTTATGTGAGGATACAAGTCATGGTAGTCTGAATGACAAAAGGTGGTGTTGTATCATCTTTTGTCTCCATCTCATGCTCTATTATGATGCTATTGTGCTACAAGTATACGTAGGAATTATATATATGTCATTATCCACTGTTTTTATTGTAGTGACTATACTCGGGAAAAGAAGACAAAAGCCATTTTAAATTCGATGCGTTCAGTTGAAGATTGATGCTGAAATCCTATTGTATCTACAAATAGTACTAATAATAATATGATACAAAGACTAACCTTTTCTTTTTGATATTTTAACGTGAGCTATTGATGTTTTTGCGACACAGAAATATATGTTCACTGAAAACAAAGTGTAGAGCGAATAACACAATATAAATACTCAAAAGGCTTTAAAACTTTTAAGCGCTGTTTTGGCATACGATTTAATTCGCTTTAGGAAGAGACGTCGTAGAAACGCTGCATTTTCACCTCTTCATAATTATGCGGAGGAGAATGAATATACATACAAATCTGTTAATTTTCTGTTCTCATAGCCTAGGTAAGTTAACTTTCGTGTTTCTGTTTGACCTTATAACGAATAAGTGTAGGAATGGATTTCTGGTAAAAGAAAGTAAACTACAAAACTGTTGATAGTACAGCTTGTCGACAGACTGAAAATGAGCGTGTAAATATCCCTTGTAGCACCTGTTTCAAAGTAGCATTTTTATATTCAAGTCATAAAGTATAAATACGGCTGCAATATATTTTGGTTGCATTCGGGCCAGTTTGAACTTGACCTCGGTTTGTATTAATAATTTCGTTTATCGTCCAAGTTATGTTATTGCTTGGATTATATAGATTGGTCTGTGTGTTGCAAATTTGTCAAACTGATGCTGGATACATCCCGCAGTTAAATTCTAATGATAGTTATTTTCAATAGTTGGGATCATGAGTCAATTGAAGCTAGACCACCATGGAAAACCTGGAAGCACTGGACGGCAAGTTATTTGTTTAAAAATAACACTTTTAACGACAGACGATCTACATAGCTATATGTTAATCTTAAAAACGTGAATAGTTAATGTCTAAGTTGTTTGCAGTGAGAAACGTGAGTTTAGTAACATCAATGAAACTGAAAATTGAGAGTAATTTTTGGATTTCCTAGCTGTAAACTATTTTACATTTGCTTGTCATCTTCGGTGTTTGTTATCGATAAGGAATGGTAAAGGCATAGACACTATTCGTGGTGTAGAGAAGTAGTAGTAATGAATACTTTCTCGGAAATATTTCTATCCCTAAACATTCACCGTAATCTGGGTGTATCTCCTCCAAAGTATCTGCATTAATTCAAAATGGAGTGTCAATTGTACACTAAATATACGAGTGAATATGCCTTAATACCAATGTGTTATTGCAATAGTGGTGAAAGGGGAATATTTTTTTCGTGCTACAGACTAAAATTTCAGCACACAATATGACAACACAACTGAATTATCCCCACTATTCTAAAACACTCCCGAGTCTACGTATCTTCAATGTGGTGAAAATAAACTTCTCCTTAGTCATAATCTTAAGAGATGGTCAACATAATCTGTGCTCTATGTTGGTAAGTTGAAAGACCCACCTAAGTGTTTTTCAGCTCTATTTAGTCTACGTACTTGGGTATTAAAATAACGCATCACGATTGTCATGTTTTGACCATCTCGTTTAAAACTCAGTTTTTACTTCGTCACGGCTGCATATACATGTGTCAAACTCAAATCGGTTTGTTTACACATTAAACAAATGAATTCATATTTACTTTTAGTAATTCACTGAACTGGTGTTTTGCTACATGAAATTGTCTTTAATTTACATTACTGATTATTATCATTATTAACATTTTTATTACATCATCCAGTTTTTACAGAAAATAAAAAAACTGAGATACTAACAAAAGCTGAATGTTTGGTTTTTACTACCAGCATAATAATTTTGAAATATCACTGGGATACATCTCAACAATCTTGTATGTCATACATACAAAAGTTTAGTAAATTTATACAGACAAGTCAAGATAATGGTTTCATGGCTACAATCATAACTATTATTATTACTGTTGCTATTGCCATCAATTACTTCGCATTAAAATAACAAATGTGTGAAAAAATAAGTATGAATGAGATTATTAAACTAATTCTCTCACTGTTTGAAATTATCATCAAAATACACCCAGGTAAAAGCAAACTATAAAAAAGAAAATAAAAACAGGATTTACACGAAATAAAGTCAGAAAAGTGGAGCTAATTGTTTTTTCATCTTATTCTCAAATATCCGTTTGAGGAAAAAAGGTAGTTGTCCAAAGATAAAGTTCTGCATATCAATGTTGGGAGATGTATCAGCTTATTCGAAAATTGCAGTAGTGTATACCTAATGTCACCTAGTTATAAGTTTTACACTATCGTTCTTTATGTTCAGATTGTCTTATGTTATCGGTGCATAATGTTTTCTCCCTTATAAGTCTTTTTTCACCTACATCTTGAAGTGATTCAGTTGTAACGATCATTGTTATTTTATTTTCTGGAGTAATTTCAGAGTTAGTATACATTTGACTTGCAGATTTATTAACTGATGTAATAGATCTAGGTTCAATTGTAGCTATTGGCGTACTTGTGATAGAATAAGGGGCTGTAGCCTTCGTAGAGTCACATGAATTATGAACAGCTGCATGAACAGAACTATTTTCAATTTGATGTACACATCCCTCACCATTCAACTTACTAGCACATTCGGTTTTAGAAACTCTACTTTGAACTTTTCCAAGGGAGTTTATACTTATAGATGTGTTAACTGAAATTGTCGTGGTTGTGTTGGATGCAGTACTAATAGTTGTGGAAATATTATGCGGTAATTGTGTAGTATGAGTGACTTTGTTTATTGTGTTGGGATTCGACACATTAGAAGACATGTTCCTAGCTCCAGGAGGTTTCGGCAGTTTTCTGCGAAGCCACTCATGTTTAAAAGCCTCTCGTGGAGTCATACGCTCCTCTGGTGTCCACCGTAAACACTTCCTAATAAAATCAAGGAAAACTGTATCTTCACAACCTTTAAGGGCTGTGACTAATGACCGACTTCCAGGAGTACCTCTAATTTTACCCCTTTTGGTATTACTACTGCGAAGTACGACACAGCCATTTGCATCCATAGCCATGCAGTATCTTGGGTATCCATAAGTCGCCGAGAAAAAACTTCTCACTCTTCGACATTGATCCAGTAGCTTTTGAGGTGGCATCCCAAGCAATTCTATTATACAAGCAAGTTGGTCTCCTTCATCTTCCCCTGGAAATATAGGAGCACCTAAAGATGGGAATAAGAATAGAAATATTTCACACACTCCCCCATCTATAAAATTGACTCTAGCAAGAACAATCAATGTAGCAGAATAACATGAATTCACTATATTTCGTGGTTTCTTGTCAGCTGCTTACCACCTAAATATAATAGTGTTATTGTTTAAAAATCAGTCTACATACTTTGTCATAACATCGGAAAAGTCCTCTCCAGTAAATATTTTGAAAATAGAAATAATTATGAAACAACGATAAGAGATGTACATATGTTAATTATTGTGGATATTTATAGGTTGGATATAAGAACATTCTAGAATAAACAACTAGGGAGATAGAGATAGAATTATGTAGGGATAATATATTAATGTTATGGTCATGTAACACTCCTAGAGAAATTAACTAAGTGTAGGTCAGATAAGAAAAGAGGATTAATAACTAGTGTCACGAAAAGAAAAATTAGGTAACAAGCATTTGTGAAGGAGTTCACCACGGCGAGGCAAGATTGACAACTGAATCTTAATGGGTAGATAGATTTAGCTTAAATCTTATCATAATTGCTTCGGCTAACCTTAGTAAATTTGACTTTCGTTGATTGTTAATTATCTTGAAGAACTTCGCGACATCAACACCATGACCTCTGTCAAGCTGATGGCGTTCAATTGCACTGCTGAAAACGTACTCCCCTCTTAGTCTAAGCTTTCGTGGAATGTGCTCAGCTACACTTTTCTGTTCTTTCGATGTATGTTTGGCGTGTACGTGTAAATTGGTGAATACAGTTAGAGGTAACAAGGTGGGAATTTGTCTTCAAACGACTGTCTTAGCAGGCAATTCACTTGATACAAAGTGGTCAGCTTGGCATCTGGATAAGTCCATTTATTATGGCTTTTAATCTGAAATCAGTCTTTTCAGTTATTTCATCACCACTGAGGCCAAGTCTTAGGAATACAAGCTTCTCAACTACAGCATACTCCATTTCCTTCGCTTTAGTCTTCTCATACTTGTTTATGAAATTCTGAAGGTAACATAATCAAATAAACAACGTCCAACTATTGTAAGTTCTTCATCAATTTTAGCTTCTGAATATAATCTAATGACGCGATTAAAGAGCGTTCTAACCAAAACTTTTGTAGTTTAATGGACAGAAGCTATTGAATTTTAAGTATAATCCACTCCATATGTCCCTCGAAAAATATATATCTTAATGCAAATAGTCGATTGGAAAGATATGTAAGTGTGTACACTGGTTTTTAAAGAATGATACTATTATATTTAGGGGGTAAACAGTTAACGAGAAACCGCGAAGTATAGTGAACTCATGTTATACTGCTTTAGTCAAATTTAGGGAGTTTTTTATCAAGTCTATAAAAATATATAAACATAACAAAGGAGGCAAATAACGTTTTGGTAGTGAAAACATTTAGCTTTTGTATATTTAAAGCCATAGTTTTATGTCACCATATTGAGTTAAAGTCAGTTACATCACAGGAAGCCATTTTCATTTTAGAGTACTTTATTTTCTACATTTGTTATCATACAACTAAAAACAAGGGTGCTTTCAAACTTACTGTTTACACTGACTGTTCAACATATTTATTGATGCTTTATATTCTGAATCTGAGTCCACTAAAATGTTTTCAACTATTGTTACTTTTGGTAGCCCGCATCTGCAGTACGTGAAGCAGTCCTGAACATCCAACTTGACTGCTGAAAAATCCGTTTAATTTTTGTTAAAATTGCTTGCGTAGTCACTGATGTTCCGCCTTTGATTCCACCTAAGATCAGTTTCATAATCTGTGCTTTCTCTCCATTCTACACTGACAAACAGTAGATCATGAGCATGTGGGGGCATCTAGATATTGCAAAGATATTTAAAACTTGTACGCCTTTGAAGTAAGTGAAGTCGGTAGGTCTCAATAACCTCATTTTCTTGTACGAATTGTTCTGCTGCTACTTTTGGACCATCACTTAAACTTATTTTATAGCAGCTCTGCTCACCCAAAGAAAGCCTATAAAAAAATACTGAACATCTGTTGACATCTTTATTGACGTCTTCAGATTAGTTATCAAATAGACTGCTTTAAAAACATCATACTGATCTTGACATGAGTACAAAGTATTAAAATAAGATCATAATAATCATTTTTTACCTGTTAGTAACTCCGCTAGAATACATCCAAAACTCCACATGTCAATCGGTAGACCATACTTACACCCGAGAATCACTTCCGGAGCTCTGTAAAATCTCGATTGTATATAAGTGTATAGACGCTGACTTTCATAACAACTTGAACCGAAATCGATCACTTTAATCCCACTCCTACCTTGTTGTTTAAGCAAGATGTTTTCCGGTTTTAGATCACAGTGAATAATTTTATTTCTGTGCAACATATCCAGACATACTAAAATTGAATGAGCGAATTTTCTAACTAGCGGTAGAGGAAACCCTTGAAATTTACTTCGTTTGATAAGTTCATATAGATTTATGCTTAGTAGTTCAAATGTTATACAAACATGACCACGAAAAGTAAAGTGTTCGGAAATATGCACGACATTACGTGTATTGTCTACATCCTGTTTTTTCAGTTGTTCGAGAATTCGAATCTCTTCAGTCGCTTGATTCGTAAAACGCCTTTCATTTCTCACCATTTTTAATGCAACATAAACACCATCTTTATGATCGTAGGCTTTAACAACCTGTCCAAAACTACCTCTCCCAAGTATTTTTAAAACCTCATAACGATAGGCAACATGATCGTGTGCACTGTGTATGTAGGAACCCTGATCATCGTCATAACCACAATTATTTCCTGTCCCTAAAATTCCGTTTCTTTTCTTTGCATTATGTCCCACAAAATATACATAAGGATAGTTCAATATTTCCTGGTGTTCGTACGCGCTAAGTTTATGAAAATACAACTTCATTGCCATTTCCGGAGTGAGACATGTTTTTATCGTTTTATCTGATGACGGCTTTACACACGGTGTACTAATCGACTCATATAATGAAACCGGAAGACTAGTTGGTTCATTTACGCAGCTTTTGGGTATTGTTTTTACCGGAACTTCATTAAAATCCACACCACATGCTACAGTCCGGTTTTGGATTTTCGGAGATTTATTCTGATTTTCAAGTTTTGAGCTATTATATGTCCATGGACTGGTGTTTCTTTTGGTCCTTGATCTGCTTGATCGGTTTCCAGGCTTATTAATTTCTGGTTTATTTTGTCCTAATGAAAAATTACTCAAATGCAGTGAAATATTATCTGTTATAATCGCTGAGTTTTCGCTTTGAAATTTGTTTTGTTTCTCTTCACGCATTTGAGCAATATTTAGCAGCGACTTAACATTGCTGCTTTTGTTTTCTATTCCAAAAGAAGAACCGTTAGATGCGAGAAGACTGTATAGACTTTCGTTTTTTATTGTCCCTCCATTCATTTCCATTAAAGGTTGAAAGTGAGGATGACCAAAAGCTGTATCAATACTATACATAGGAGTACGTTATGAGCACTAATGAGGTCGTTTAGTTGGCATTCCAATGGTGAATATACATTTCGGAGAATTCAACCGTATATAATCTTTCATTGAGTGGAGATTATTGGTATCTATGATAAAGAAAAGAACATTAGTGAGGACATCGTCGTTTCTATAGTCTTAAATAGAAGCTAGAGAAAAGTTATTTCTATTAAAAGTTAAAAAGCTCACTAAGGTTTTAAACGTAATATAAATGATAGAACTTGGACGCCAGATCCAACCACCAACGTCGGGCTGCATGTCAGTTGTAACAAAGTTTTCACGATTTCGTTCAACCTTAAAAACTCATTGTTGGTTAATATACAAGCGGAAAATTGTTGTAGTTAGAAAATTGATGAATGGTTGTTACTTAAAGTTTCTTGTAAGAAAGTATCCATATCATTTATCAATGTAAAGATAAATTATTTAAAACTGGTTTTATTCCTTTGTAAACTCAAATTCTTCAAGACCAGTCAACTTTGATACTATAGTAAAGTAGGATATGGGTTTTTAGGTAAGACGGAAAACAATAGGCTACATTGAAACTGTTTTTTTCGAAAAAAATAATGTTTATTTTCTCTCGTACATAATGAGAGAACTGTCATGAAAATTTGAATATTTGTCTTTGTGCGTAATCAGAAATCCTGCTTTTAAAATGGATGGCACAAAGAATTGTGTCACACATGTAACTGCCATAGGATGAAATTTTACATACGTTAGGAGAAAATTAGGTAAGTTAGGAAAGTCAGAAGTTCCGTTTTTTCACTGAGAAATTTGAAATTGAAGTTCGAGCTTTAGATAGATACAGACGACAGTATCTGATCGGGAGATAAGCTGAAAATGAGTCAGATTTGAGTATAAATATTCAGTGTGATCATTATTTGACATAGCCTTGAGTAATAAGCTTATGGACCCCCAATACTCTAGGTTAAGCTAAACCAGATATTCCATAGTTAATGTCACCAGCTGATCTCAGTCAAGCAGCTATTGAAAAGTAGGAAGCACTGAACAGATGTAAATTTAGAAAACCTCCACAAACCCCCTTGATGGCAATAACTACCTTAGGTAATTACTTGTGTGTTGTTATTGTGGAGATTGGTAAGTTAAAAGTGACAAAGTCACCAATTATTCCATCATATTGGGGTACTGATTATGCTGTGAAAGACTACCAATTTTATTAGCGGCAAAATTGTTTTGGTAATAGTTGATGTTGGAAAGGGTAAGTCTTCTAAAACGAATGTGTAACCATGTATGCATTTAGAAAAAACTGACCAGAATAAGGGTGGAATTTTACCACATTTTTGCCAACTCTGAGATGCTTAGTCGTTATTTCAACTAAAGGATCCCAAAGTTTCATAGGACAGATTAGTTTACATATCCCAATAAAGTTGTTAGAGATTTCCAAAGTTAGTGTTTTAAACATCAAAAGTTTCAGTTTAATTAATAGAACGTCAAACCTTTTAACTGAATGTCCTGGTTAATTAAAGCAATTGTGATGCAACCAACTGGTAATGAACAATAATCTGAAGACAGTAACTGTGTATAAATATATATCGTAATGCATATAAAGACCTATCTGATTATTTGTGATTTAAAAAAAGGACTATGTTGTATGACTGGTTTTCTGGGATTGATATGACTTAGATTAAAAATAACAGGGTTAAGGAAATAAGGTTTAATAGAAAATTTGTAGTACTACTAAGTACTAAAACACAGTATCCCAAAGACGATAGAATTCAGAGTGTAGCTGAAATTCGATAAGCATAACTAACACACGGAAATATTCATGAGGTGTCAACAAAACTTTGCTGAAGAATGAAGTGGAAATGTGGTAGCGTTACCGAAAAGACTAACAATGTTTCTTGATTACGTTCGTTTAATGTAGTGGTGAATAAATCAAACTCAGAAAATAGATAGGATACAAACTAAAAGTAGTCCTAAATACCAAAATTTATACGCTTAATAAAGCAGCTAACTTAATGTGTTCAATAGTAATAATTAAACATGAACACAGTTTCCAACCATTTTTAGTGACTTACAATCAGCGGGAGTTCGAGAATTTATCTTAATGATGAAGAAGTATAGATTTTAAAAAGTGTACCACGGTGAGAAATATAAGTTAAGGGACATTTGTATCATGAAGATTAAAAATTAAAGACCAAACAGAATATGAAGATATTGTCAAATGCACACTTCAAGGTAAACCAACATTATCCATATTCGAGTTCAAGGTTATGCAGGAGTCTTACATAAAAATAGTTGTAGTTCGACGAAATTCATTTGGAAACATGATCGTAAAATACATCATCGTAGCTGAAAGATATAAACAAAAAACGTATTCATGAAACATGCATGGAGTACGCACGAATTTGTAGATATTTATTCGTTATGATAATCATAAATTGAACGTGTTAAAATACTTGTTTCACTCAAATGTACAGAGATTTTCTCGGAACAATGCTCATGGGTAAAAAAATTAATAAAGATACCAGATGTTTGAAGGGGTATATTAAATATCTGCGCTGGACCATTTTCATTTATGTTTCAGCATAGGGAGAAACTTCGCTTATTCAAGTTCTGTGTGCACTGACAATAAACAATCAGCTTTACTTTCAAAAAGGTGTAATTTTAGGGTCAGGTATGAAAGTAAAATATTTCATGCTTTCTATGGCCATGTTAACTGGCTTCAAAAGCCATAGAAGAAGCAAGCTATTCATTTTTGTGGTAAAATATACGAAAAAATTCGAATAAATGTAATGTGCAAATTTTTCTAAAAATTTCAGAATAAACAATAGAAACAAGCTGCAATAGGTATGTGATGTTGATCCGTGTATCAAACAGCATTCCTATATTGAAGAATAAATGATTTCTGCCGGGTGAAATTGATACGTTCAAATTTTTATAATACCAACCTACACTTCCCATCCTTTTGTTCTTCATAACTTTTTACTTTTAATGCTGTCACCTAATGATGGCTTTTATACTTTGTTTTAACTTTTGTTTCGAGTGGAAGCATTTCATCCAATTGCCTAGTCTATGAATCCCTTAATTTCTAGTGTTTACCTTTGTTGTCAAACATCTGTTTTGTAGTTCAGATCTGTCAACAACTAATCAAAAATCACATTATAATAGGATAACTTCATTCTATTTGACAGAACCTTGAGACCGTCACTTTATTCAAGAACTATGGTGTCCTTAAATTAATTATTAGTAATATTGCTTTCAAAAATATTGCCCTATGAATATGAATCTACATAATCCACATTAGCGAATACGTAACGTGTATCTCTGATTACTAAGAGACCTTGAAAATCATATTAAAACGAATAACGAAATTTTAAATGATAACAAACTATTTTCATTGATACAATCACTTGTTTGATAAAAAATGATCACTGCGAAATTTCCAGAATTTCGACTTCACTCGTCTATGATTAGCTACATTAAAGTGAAGTAAATTAGTAGTCTTTGTATTGAGAGAAATATACCTTACCTAAAGTTATGCAACGTGTAATGTCGGGTTTCGAAAGTTAGAAAATGAGGAGATAAAGTATTTAAGAATAAGTCACCTAAGCTGCATCGAAACGTATAACGAGATTGCGTATTTAAATTGGTGAATAAAAAGCATTTGTTATCATAATAATATGTAGTAAATTCATAAGTTGATGCTCTAGAAACAACGAAACGTTTCTATAAAACGTCAAACATTACTATAAATACAACCGGCCTAAACATATTTCGCTCAGCAGAATAAATAAAGTTAGATTAGCTTTATAAAACTAGCTCCCAAAGATGAGTATCTTTAATGTTTTTGGAAATGTGTACAATTATTAAATAACTGGGTTATTGCACTTTTATGCTTCTGATGTTTAAAGCTCACGTCAGATTCCCTAACCGTAGCTTTACACATCACTCTATCCTAAATATTGCCAATTGATTATTCACCCTCTCTTTCATTCTTTGTCACTTATGGCTTGGTTTTATGTAAACTCTAATTTCCTACGTAGGTTGTACTGTGGTCTGATAATGTATGTATACAAACTCAACAGTGCTTTAATTTTAATGAACCTGTCTAACTGGCATGTTCTCCTATCAGACTGGTTGTTGGGGATAGAAAGTTGCAGTAAAGACTAGCAGATGTGTACTTTATATCAGCCATAGCTTAAGATGAATCATTGTCGAAAAAAGCGTAGGGTGTCAGGAAGACACAATAGGATTCTTATTAGTGAGTCTTAACGTTTGATATCAATCGACTCTAGTCATAACAGTTGTCTTTTTCACACTTACATATGTTTAAGGACCACGTTTTATCGCCTTCAAATACTTGGATGGATTCACTTGTGTTCAATACATAATGCTTCTTTCAGAGTATAAATTGGGACCCTAAGTGGCTTACTGGATGGTTTTTATATCCAGTAACTTCGAATGTATCACTGCCTACTATGCCACTTAATGTAATCCCTTGTAAGATAATGAAAATGACAAAAGTTGTGAAGTATGGTGAAAATGGGATTTTAATACGTGGTAAATCTGAAGAACTAATAAAAGATAACACGATGTGCGGTTTTACCACAAAAGATTTATGATTACCTTTCGTAGTTCTTCTTATAAAACATCTACCTGTAATTAAAAGACTAATAACCTATTCCTCAGATCAGGCACTTCAAAATTCCTTCTATCCTGATATTGATATTATATAGCACTGTTTATTGATAATGAACAAAAATCATATCAAGACTTTGATGAGCTTTTAGTCTGCATGAAATTTCGGATGCTCTATTGAATTTATCTTTCCAGATAAGAGAGAATCATAGCTTTAAATGAGTGAAAAACACCGGAGGTATGCACTAAGTAACAAGTTGACAAGAAAATTCGGATGACGTTATTGCTCTGAACCATCATATTTTGAAAATGGAATTTAATTCACTGAAATATCATAGTTAAAATAAAGTAAATTTTGTATGATCTGATCAGTCACTTTGCCAACAAGTGAACTTTCAAGATCAGGTTCCGAATATGATGTAGGATGCTATATATTTTTAGAGCCCATTTCCAATTTACTACGACGTTAGTGGTTTAACCTTATAGTAAGAGTTAAAGCTCTATTATATACTCTGATCTTAGTTTTAGATTTTAATAAGGAGGAGATTTAAGAAAGGTTGCGTTTGAAACAAAAATATGCAAGATGTTTACGGGCTATATAGAAGCTTGAACTTTTAAAGTTTCTGTTGTGTATATTTTTATCTAATAAAAGGTGTCCGGTCAACATTCTGAGTTCAAAATGCGTCGGTTTATTACCATTAGCTAACCCTTAAATATTTTGAAAGTTTTGTATTGACAATTACTGGTGAAACCTATTTTCAATACACTGTTGTTTCGTTAACTGTTTACAGCTGACAGTTTACAAATTTTCAACCAACTCAATAGAATCAGTATTACTATTGAGCTGTTCCATCTCAATGAGTGTTATCAAAATCCCTTCTCATCCACAAATAAGTGAAACGATTATCTGAGTAGTTGTGTTGATGCATGGACACCATAGGAAGAGTGGATGACTTACGCCATTTCACTAAAATTTAAAAAGGCCCATATATCTCCATAGAGCGCTTTGTCCTGTCATGTTGTATTCTATCACATAAAATCTTTTATGAAGGCACTCGCAACAATTCAGCTGAAGATTTAGCCTGTTTCTGTTGTAGCTGTGAATAAATCCCAAAAATCAATAGCTCTGCAAGTGTTCGACATTGGATGCTGACCACATTAGTTTTAATGAACTCATTTATCTGAAGGCGCTCTGTCATGCATCCGCACCAGATCACTGTTTGGAATGGCGTGCGCAACGTCTCCTGCGATCACTAGCCAGATTAAATCAGTAACTCCTCGATATATTGATAATCTATCAAATATATCTTCCAACCTCCACGCTTCTGACTTTTGATTTCACTAGGTGGCCACGATTCAATTATAGAAAGTGTTACTGGTAAAGTGTTGTCAAACTACAATACCTGTGGTATCTTCACTGTACTTATTCTATATGAGTAACGCAATCGCACAATTCATTACAAAAGACTTATATATTATATCTTATGTTAACTGTAATACGTATCATATTCCCGTCAAGCGCTTGTTTTAATTTCGATTTTCAGGACTAAGAAATGTTCTTGGAGAAAGTTCGAAAAACGTATAATATATGAATAAGCGCGAGTATTTTCTTGATTTCAGGAGTACTCACTTCTTTGGGCAGACCTTTGACTACGGCAGTTTTGGCGAGTCAACTATTTTCTCATGAGTAGATTCGATGTAATGTCAAAACAAAATACATCACTGGGACTGAAGACCGGAAATACGTTCCAACTTCATGTCACTGTCCGTAGCAAACATAATTATCTAATAACAGAAAATGTTCACCACTGTTTAGTTGTGAATATGAATGAACAAATGAATGATTTATCAAGAAGACACTTCGAAGATGGAATTTAAAAATAATTTTGACCCGAATCGACACTCTTTTGAAGTGTTATAATTGTGATCAGTTACTTAGTAGATTTTGTGAAATATGTTTCACTAAAAATTTCAATAATGAGATAACTCGTTCTGAGCACAAAAATTTTGAAACACGCAGAAAACACTCATTATATAATCACAGAACGATATATAAGCATTCCATACCAAATTACTTCACGAATTGATATTCCAAATGTTAACGTTGTGATGAAAAATCTTGTTCCTCCTCATTAAGTAAGACAGATAAATCTGATTTCATCTGATGAAAAGAAGTGGAAGAAGTCTTCTGTGTGGTCTGATAACTGTTTCTTGTCAGGCGGTGGAAACGCTTGCTTTAGGGTAATCTTACTCATTATATTACATTTATTCAGATATCGATAAATGAATTAATTAACACATTGTGCCATATCAATATTTTTTAATAAAACGTTGAATGCCACTAGTTATAAGTTTATGTGCTGTTGAATAAATAAAAACTACGGTACGTCGTCATCTTCGGTACTACTGATCAATGATAATCAAAACTCACCAAATAGTCTACTGTATAAAAGTTGAACGTGTATACTGCTACTATATTTGATATCACGACTGCAAAATTGTTACGGTTCGATAAACACAACAATGCAGCATATTTAAAATTACGCCACTCGCACCATGACGATATTAAGTGAATAGTGTATAAAAACGCGAAAATCAGACAGAAGTTAAGTCCTGTAATTTTAGCTTACTTTCACTATGGTTTATTAAAAAATGAAAAGCAAAGGCATAATTTTGATTTATAAACGTTCGCCTTTTAAAATTTCGTTTCTGTTTTTCTTTGATAAATCCTTTGTTATGTGATGGATAACTGATTGTTTTGTGTCAGTCAACTTCTTCAAAAACTCGAATCTATTAAGCAATTCCAGTCGCCTGTATTTCAGATGATTCAAACTCCGTTAACCTGTCAAAAAGACTGGAAGTAAACTCAACTCCGGTTCTTTCTTTCGTCCGTCTACTTAGCGACCGAGCAGAATCAAGAGGACATTATCATTTCTTCCATCCTTGTAAGCAGTGGCGGTTGACCTCTCTCGTTCTGTTAGTTTTATCGCTTGTTTTTTTATTCCTTGCAAAATTTAGTTCTTTAATGTCCTGAATTTGCATAATTTATATAATATTCCAAATGTTGGTGCTGATTTTTTGGAGTCATTTTTGTTTTCCCGATGTTATAAGTGCTACTCAAGTCAGTAAAATCTTTCCAGCATCCTTACGTGCTTCATTTGATATTGTTAATCCGTTTTGTTTTGAAATTTTTGTCGGGATAAGAATTTTGAGTAAGCTCATTTTAGCTAAATACAGAGTTGTTGCTGCCTGGGATATTCCAACTTTCCACGCACTCATTAATCAGTGTCATTCATAAAGTAAATGTGAAATGTAAAAAACGACCTTGGGTTCGTTATTCTTCTGAAAATTACGGATAGCCCTCTCCCTCACCTTAATACTGACAGTCCAGTCGTTTTAAATATTAGACACCGGCATTTACATCCTGGAACAAAATCAGAGATGTTATTGATCTATGGCAGGAGGATCGATATTGGAAATACACTCTATTACACTATTAGGTGGCTTGGACGCAAAATGTGGAGCGTGAAATCCGTTATTGATATGTGTTCATGTCTGTTATTTTTGTCTCTAAAATGAACTGGAAGGGAGGTGGGTAAAGAGTTAAAGGGTAAATAACTGTCATTAAGCTTACTTCTTTATAGATAAAGTTTACCGGTTATCAAACCATGTTTCGTTTGCGGTATGATCTCATTTAAAATGTTCCACAACTGTCCCTGCGATAAAAATTATCGGACAAACTATTCGTGTTTTAGGAAGCCTACTGGTGACCAGTTGCAAGTTGTTATACCGATGATAACAAGTAGTAGTGGTCCTGAGTAGATTGTTAAATATCTTTGATGGAATTTCGGAAAGATTTTTGCCGTTCATTGTATAAATAATTTGATGAATAAAGTTGGCGAGCATAAGTTTTTCCCATAGATCCATAAGTTCTTAGGTTGTGGGAGTTTCAGTGATATGCTTTCAAGCATACGAAATTGTGTAGTGTTTGAGTTTGATAGTGGAAACCTCAACAAAGTGACGAGGATAGGATTCAGTACTTATGGGCAAATAAAAATGTATAAGGGGTCTCCCGATGTAATTATCACCGATTCAACATACAAAACTAACAGAAACGTTAGTGGTATAATCCTGCTTATCGAATGCTGAGATGCAATCGGGCTGAGGCATTCAATGGTGACATTACTGTTTTGAGTGACAATACGAATAACCGTGTTGAAAATTAGCATGAACATTTGAAATGCAAGTTCTTTCATAAAGATTATTCATGCAAATGTATACGAATGACATACGCGTGGCAATCACAAACTGGTAAATGCAAGTCATTAGAATCTAGCTCGTATTTTAGTCACAAACGTAGGTGCATGGCGCAGGAAGTCTTAATACCTCTCTTAAGCAGGTTGACAATGTTCGCTAGGTCTTTAAACCCTAGAGATTATAAAACAAAAGATATGATTTGCATTGAAGTTATTGTGGTCGTTTGTTCCCTACTGCTGTATTGTTAAACCACTTTAATCTGTGCTCTTTATTTTGTCTTTTCGTTCGTCCCATGTGTATTCTTGCCAAAACTTGTTAACTGGTTTCATCGGAAAGAATTTTTCATTCGCTACTTGTACAATGACTTTGTACATATTTTAGAGATCGCTGTTTTCATTGATTAATGTTTTTGTTGAAATAAAGAGACTTCTGTCGAAGAATATCCTGGCCTTTTAATCACGTTTATTTTAATTTGTCTGTTTTTGTATCGGTACATGTGTTTGGTAGGTCTTAGTTTGATTATCTATGTGACCATGTAGTGATAAAATTTAACATCCTTTCCCTTGAAATACATTCATCGCTACTATTATTAATAGTTTTATATTCCCTTCCCGATTTCGTTACGGTTGGTAGATGCAGGTAAAGATCATCACGAAACGACATTGTCGGTGGGGTTTGCTTTCTAGGAATTTCTAAGTGTACAGCCTTGATCTCTGATGGATTTGGTGTGGTTGGGCTCTTAAACAATTTTCATCTGTTTCTTTTGCCGCTCTCCATCATCAGTGATTGGTTTTCCTTCTTTGTTTGGGTGAATGATTTGATTTTTACATTTACCCACCGGCTTCTAAGCCATGTCATAAATCCAACCTTGTATCTCCATCTCTTGAGGCCTTATTGCCGTAACTACCAGATCTCTTACATAGTTCCGTTCACTGTATCTATTACTACTCTGAAATCGTTTAATCAACCCTGTTATTTGTCCTGACCGTTCATTTTTTCACACTTTTATTCCGATTTTGTTGACCGCAGTGATTTCAATTTTCGTCTCTTGAATCTCATTCATTAATTTTACAGAGATCAACTCCATATTTTGGTGCTTCTTGATTCCCATAAACTCCAGATATAATGGAAACATTGTAATTTCAACTCTCGTTTAGTTGTTCGCCTTGTTGGATTTCTCCTCTCCCATCAGATCATGTGAGGTGTGAACCCTGTTGCTTTGAGCTGCGTTGAGTTCGTTATAACTCTGAGGATCTCAAAAGTGAGCTACATAGAACGTCTACTTTGCAGAACTTTAGTCATAAAATATTTCTTTCGCCTCCCTTTTGGCTTGACTACTACCAGATAATGTACAGCGTTTTCTGCTTTTCTTTGTTTTTACATACTTCGTCAACTCCTGATTTCTTATTGGTGTTGCAGGAGTGCATATATCAATGATTAAAAACCGTCATATCGGATACCATCATTTTCACTGTGTTTCGATGTATTTTTTTTCCTCAACATCTGAACTTGTTTGTATACATCTTTGACCTCGGACATTTCGGTTTCTCTTTGTCTTTGATTTGGTACTTGAAAAGTTTTGCTCCGGCAACCTAAAAAATCAAATATTTGTCTTGTAATTGTTATAATTACTATTGTAACGATATTTAGGTGGGTTATTTATAACTCCCAAATAGACTTTTGTGCCATAATTGGAGTTCGTTTCTATTGTTATTTTTGAGTTAAGTTAGAAATAATTCGTCATACCATACTTGACTAAAGGAAGAGGGCAAAACCTTGACGTAATATGGTGCACATGTGATTTATTTGATTTGATTTTATGGTTAATCGAAACAAATATAGAGTTGTATATGTGCATGTGTGAAAAACCGTGCAGCTTGTAATCGTGTTAATTGAGACACACAGATCTAGCAGTCTCTCTGGAACGTCCTTGTGCCGAGCTGATAATTCACTTCTCTAACTTCATTGCTGCGAACGAAACTAATCCTTCTCTTTTCTCTCAACGCTGGTTTAAGTAGAGCCATCTGTTTGTGATGTTGAACCAGTACGGCCAAACAAAATACACTAGGTTTATCGATTGCACATCAACTGAATATAACAAGAATCATCAAACTGAGTATTTGTCACTGACAAGTTTCTCATGAATTTTAACTTGAGATTCTCAGCATCCAACATCCATCACTCTTTTTTCTCCTCCATTTCATATTACCTAATGATGCTTTCGTACTCGATGTTGTCCATTCTCCTTTCACTTGAAAGTCCTCACAAAAATATTGAGGTCATTTTGACCATTTTACTACCATGAACTGCAGCCTTTCCTACAAATGTTCTCTATCATCACTGACATCAATGGTGAATGTATTTCACTGACAGACATTCCCTGGAATCTTTTCCTTCAACTTTGGAAGGGATTATTTTGTGAGTCTCAAACTTCACAAACAATTCTAGAACTTAGTTTTACAGGGTGACGTTTTGTGTGAGGTGCACTTTATCAATCATGGGAAAAATGAAACGACAGGTATTCTGAAGTTAGTCCTTTTCATAGATGTAGTCCGGTGGATTTCATTCATTTCAAGCATGACCAGATTCTATCTTCTTTCCCCTGAATTCCTCTAAATAGCCCTTTCGGTCTCCGACATTGTCCGCATATTTCACAAATATGTACTTGTCGCATATCTGGTTGTCAGAAGAGGAATGGGCTCGCTGCTTCAAAAGAGTCCCATTTATAAGCATGAAGTCCCACAACTACTATATGTGCAACCTTTCAACTCCCAGAGATGGGTTTGAATGGTTGTTATGCCTTTCATACGTGCTACTTAAGAGAGGCACTTTTGTACAAGGTGGGTCTCTTGACTTATCCACAATCTTCCTTCCCCTCCAGACCTAAAGACTGGTAGTAACACAAAAGGGCTTCTTAGGTTCCATTTTGTAATCCGTGTTGGCTCTGTGATCTGACCTACTAGATTGATCTTCCTATTATCACTTCAGATCCTTGTGATGTGGCAGCCTAATATCCTAAGTCTTAAGTCGAATTCGTATCGGTGTCTTTACTGACTAAACTTACGTTGGGAGTCGGCGGCTTTGTTTGTGGTAACCTCTGATACAGATAAGCTTGCTAATGGAATGGTATATTTAATATTGGGATGGAGGAGATATTTAAAGCGTCCACACCTATCTTATCCAACCATTCAGTCTACATATTTTTATCACGTTGGCTTGTATTGACTCCCGCTATATTTCATCAGGTATTCAATGAACAATGAGAACATTTTTCGGACTCAAGGGTGATCTGTTGAGAGTTCTTCTATTTTAAT